ATATTTTAACAATGATAACTATTTGTTATATTTATAAAGGTTCCCATTTTCCAATCACTGATATTATGAACTGTTATTCATCAATCTCTTTTTGATGTATATTCATCCTGAAAGAATGAACTTAATATTACTATTTAGTCACAAGTTTTTATAAAACATAGATAGTGATTAATGGTGGAATTCCAGCCGTGTATTTCGTCCTATCTAAGACTAATCAAGAAGTTGCAATTGAAGCCCAATGTTAATATTCACATTATTACTCAAACTTCAATACTTCTCATCAAAAATATCATAGCATTATCCATTGAGTTAATAAAGTCAAATAAGTCCATAACTTATTTTAATCATCAAGTCCTACAGTAGTGAAACACAGATTCTCATCACTTTAATTCAGTTATGATGACATCATATTCGACGATATTCTTAACCTTATAAATTTGACAAGTGGTCATACAAATGTATAACAATTTCTTTTACCTTACTTCATTATTGTCTATAAAATATCCCATCCCAAAACATAATTCCTATCAATCATATTATAGATTTATGATGAATGTAATATAAGAAATCAGAATGAAAAGTCAAACTTAATGAATTCATTCACTTGAACTATTCTTTCATTGAATAATTGAATTCATTCATTCATTCAATAAATGATATAAGATAATTAAATTAATAAAATTTACTTATTAAATAGTTACCTATTTACATTTGAATTGTAAATGAGATTTTGTCATGTTGTGAAACTTTTTTTTTTCCATTTTTGTACACGTAACATTGAATATTGAATAATATTTGATATGTAAAATATAACCTTGTCAAGATTGAATTTTTATTGTCATGTGAAATACATTAAACTAAATTAATATCACATGTGATATTAACCAAAATTGTAAAGGAGGAGGTTAATTCATTTAATATGGAAATCAGTTTATCCAATTTATTTATGATACTCCTTATAGGCTTTTGATGAAGGTATATATAAGGGGTTTTGTGGAGATTTTAGTAATTTTATATAGTTGAATTCATGAGTCAATTGAAGCTAGATCACCATGGAAAACCTGGAAGCACTGGATGTCCGTGAGACTTCTCAGCAGTGCACATTCACGAACTCGCCTTGCTGTCCAGTGCTTCCAGGTTTTCCTTGGAGGTAAAGCTTGAATTGACTTATGATTTCAACTATGAAAATACTGAAATCTCCACAAACCCCTTCTGATTATAATCATATGCTCACTAGTGACTGACTTCAAGAGATATTTCCTGGAGTTCTAATCAGAAGCAGTGACCAGTGGAGTTCAACCATGTCTGTTGTGAAATAGTAACTGACTGAAGACGGTTGATGAAAGGTTGCTCAGCTTCGTGGATTAGTTGAAGTTAGACATCAACACTATTGGATGCTAGCTCAGTGGTCTAGAGATTAAGTGCTCTGGCGCGAGACTGGTAGGTCCTGTGTTGGTATCACGCCAGTCGATATCATGGATGCGCACTGCTTAGGGGTAATACAATAGGACGAAACGGCCGTCCATTGTTTTCAGGTTTTCGATGGTGGTCTAGCTTCAATTGATTCATGAATTCAACTATAAAAATTGCTAAAATCTCCACAAAACCCCTTCTGAATATATATATACATATATATATATATATCGAAAAAAATTATAAGAATCATTGGAATCAATTGAAAACTGTTATAAGTTATAATCGTACATAGTTCATAAAGTCAACGTTAAAATATAAGCTTACTAGTAAGATTTCATTGATAAAGATCAATCCGTGATTCAGACTCAACGATTTCTATAACTCCTTCATGTTAGTGAACATAATAGACTCAGTAATAACTAATTCCGAGTAGTGATTCCATCAATGACAGTGGATGTACGTTGTGCTACATCTTGAAGTGTTTGAAGTTAAACATGTCAATCATTGGGTTCCTACTCAGTATTGTAAAGATTAAGAGCTCACTAGAAAAATCGACAGTACATAGATCGAATCCTACTGCTGTTTTGGATTCTCACTGCTGAGGAAGTCCACACTGAGTCTGAAACAATTATCTGATGCTTACAAGTTTCTAATAGTTATCTAACTAAAATCAGTTCGTGATGGAACCTATGAAAATCCATACATGTTTGATACTAGAACTAATACAATGTTAAATTTCCATCATTACATTTAAAAAGCAAAGCGTAATAAATTCGATTTCTCCACTCTGCAGAATATCATAAATATGATATTATTGCGATTATAATGAACAATCCATTCAACATTCATTTTATTTAAAATCATTAGTTTGAATTTTGTTAGGGATGTTTACAAATTTAGTTTGGAGCAGTTAGTACCATTGAGTGTCTAGATGATATATTTTAACCTTTGGACAGATAAATTATTCTAGTTTTGTATTTTGTCCCGTCACATACGTCCTTGGCCTTGCCATCTACTGACATGTAATCTTGAACATACTTCATGCATGTATGCGCTCTAGTCCTCATGGGTATATAGACTTACTTGTATCTCTTTCAGTCTTTTATATACTGAGTCACACATTGGTGACTGCTTTGGCATGTTCGCCTTCTCTGCTTCACATCTCTCATCGTCTATGCTAGCACATTTGTGTCTATGTACTTGTATTTATTTCATGCTTTTAAAAATTGAGTCTCCAATTATTCACGGAGTTAGCCATTTCTGCCAGATCAGTTCACATACGTCTCTCTTCGTTACATATCATTCACCTGGATTAACGAATACCTGAAATATTTCTTCTTCAGATACTTTTGTATTCAACTTCTAACAAGATACATCAACAGAATATAAACCAAGTAGATAGGATATATATTTCATTAACCTCAACATCATTAAATCATTATGAAATCGAATCTCAGTTACTAAAAGTTATAGAACACATTTTAGTCTTATAATCAATTCAGTATCATGTCATAAAATAAAGTTGGGTTTTTAAAAAAGGCAAGCTGGTTTATATACTTGAAAATTAAATAGTCAGACCAGTTAACTGGTTAACAACTTTCCTAGTAACTAGAAAGGAGTTTAACAAGTGATATGAACAAATGCTGATACGGTAAAATACACATGGCAATCTTTTTCTACATTTTGATCGAATTTTATTTCCTCTCATGTTACTATTATACGTCCAAGTATTCTATTGGCCTGGAAACAAAGGATATCTATATTTAATCTATGGGAGAATTCTCCTTCTGATTTAGGGTCAACAATCAAGTAATGATTATATAATAAGGTCAATATGATAATGACTTGTTGAATAATATCAAGTTATGCAATTGAATATTGTAAGAAGTGTATAGAAATTATTAAAAAAAGCAGTAACAAAATATAGATTATACATATGTGATTGACTGAAGTAGGAATAGTATATACACAGTATAATTGTTATCTAGAGACTGAATAGTTTATTTAAACTCCTGTTCATTACAGGTTCAATGGAAAAAACGAATTTAGAACAATTAGCCCTAATTAGGACTTGTCTATTGAATGTATCAACATAACAGTGTTGATGTATCATGCTGCGACTGGAACGTTTACATTTATAGCCTCAAAAACCAACCACTGAGCTATTAAGTTCAGAAAACCTTAAGTAACAAGTGATATGTAAGTGTTTAAGATTTCCGGTTTATTTCAGTCTTGTTGTGTCAAATAAAGTTATCTGAATTCCGTTGTTAATATTTCCGTTAGCACTGATACATCGAATCCAGCATTGCCCACTCTGGAGGTTAAGCGCTCGCGCACGAGAGGCATAGATCGTGAGTTAGAATCTCGCGAGGGGGAATCGTGGATGCACACTGCTGAGGAGTCCCACAATAGGACGAAACAGCCATCCAGTGCTTTCAGGTTTTCCATGGTGATCTAGCTTCAATTGACTCATGATCTCAACTATTGAAATGAATAAATTTTTAGTCGTAATCCAGAGTATATTGAAAATAAATACAATTGTCTATATCATTACCCAATAACCGTTGGATAATTCTTTTCTAAATTGATTTAATGCATCTTGAAACCTAGTTTCAGTAGAACTACAAGTTAAAATCAGAATAGTTCAAATGGATAGTCCCAAATCAGGATGCATAAACATTCTATATTTCATTGCTAGCCATGAAAGTAAAATGTAATCAATTTGTAAATAAAGACAATTGTGAAAAATTCATTGAAAGAAAACCTTTATCAACAATAGTTAATACATTCACTTTGTTTATTTGAATCTTCCTATTTATGTTTAGGACTACAAATGATCAGTCACTTTTAAACATATGTGCATCCTGTGCGGATTGCTACAATATTGCTTTAAGCCACATGCATTTTAAGCAAATATGAATGATGGATAGCAGTGGAATCCTATTTGGGACTCGTCAGCTAGATGTACCTGCAACCCAGTAACGTTCACTTCAAACGCTATCACATTATCCACTTAGCTACGAAGTTAATACATCCAGTGTTTTATATTAATGTGATAATACATATGCCGTTAAATAAATACATAAATTGAAATGCTAGTAACTAAATAAACGATAATCTACATTGTAACCATATCAACAACCAACTAGATACAATTGTTTTGTTCCCAAAATCCCAAATGGCAAATAATTTTTCAATATTTTATAAATTGTTCAAATTAGGAAGATTATAATAAATTCATTTGAATAGGTCCATGTCTCAATGTTTTAATAGTGCCAAGTTCTCTATATTAGTCTACAATCTGTTATTCATTTCTTATTCTGTCGTTCAGTTCTATTTTTGCACCACCCTCACTAAATTATCTCTTAAATTATCATTTACATGTTACATATTTTTCTGATTTAGAACATGACTTTTATCCAGCCAATCAGATTAATTCGACATTTTAAAAATTTCACCCCTCATCTCCTCCCCTTTCCACTTTACCATAGAAATATAATATTGACCAATAAGAAAATGATATTAATCATTCTTCATTTGTCATAAATATATATAAAGACGTTACTCATTTCTGACGTTAAATTGCACAGTCCCTTAGAGTTGTCGATTGATAATAACATTATTACATATACGCGGATCTATTAAATATTACATATTGTATTGGATTTATAGTCATTCGGAAAAAAGAAAGTAAGTTGACCAAAATGAGATTCAATTTTGTATTTAATGGAAATTATTATCCTCATCACTGTATCATGTAGGTTTCTAGAATTTAATATCTCTATTTGATATTGCACAAAAGTTGATTGTTATTAGGGATTTAAACAGTATAAGTTGAATGATAGATGAGGCTGACAACAGATATATAATCCCCTTTAAGATTTATGTAAGCAATAAGAATACATACGCTTAAATTTGCGTCTATTGATAATATTAATTCATTATTAATTTATTTGTTTAAACACATAAATATTGCTACAAGGAAACACCAAATACATATGCGCCATACAAATCTCATTTGATTTGTGTGAGGACTATGATACTGCCCAGGTACCCAGACTGAAACAGGTGGTTTTCTTAGGGGGCCACACCCGGAGCCTTTGACCTAAACATCTAACCCACAAGACAGTGTGGCATCGTAAGGAGATACAATCCCATGGTAGCCGGTGACCAACAGTTGGTTCATACGCCATTCGTTCCTTCAGGATACTGGAGCCCATGTGCACCATTGGTTTGGAATGAGGGTTTTCCAACTCCCCTATGTGGATCCTCCACATCCACCAACCCGGTTAAAGCGCCGGACATTCGCTTTTCGTTCTCTCAATTTCGTATACAACACCTATATATATTCGCTGGCCATGTGAGAGCATTTCGAGAGGAAAAGAGGACTCTCCGCACTATCGGCCGTACCGGGGCATTTGGGGGCATTAATTCAGTTGGCTTGAGGAAATCGATAAAATGGGGTGCTTTTAAAGTAGCCAATTATTTATTAATTTAGACACATATTGGTACAAGGGGGCACCAGATATATATGTGCTACAATTTAAAGTAATCAACAATTCTTCAGCTTGAATTTTTACTTTTACAACTTATTTCAGTTAAAAAAACATTAAAACGCAAAAAGACTAATGAGTTGTCCAGTCATAGGATCTTTTTGGAACAGCAACCTAAAACCATCAGAAATTTAATGAAAAACCTGAAGGTCCGCTGACAAGTGCTTAACACAGAAAATGCTTTCATTCGTTCAAAATTAATTCATTATTATTATTATTATTGTAAACCTCACAATCTGTTTCACTTGTACTTATTCCTGATGTCCACATAATCTATCTATCTATCTATTTTTAATTCTATTAAAGTATGACTTGATGTAACTGGTTGCTAATAAACTGTTGACTTGACAACATTGTAAACATTTCATCATATTTTTCATTCTGTTTAGTAATCCTCATAACAGTAATAAATCACTAAACCACGCAATGTTCTTTCATTAATCCTTAGATAATCCGTAAAACATGTTCTTTATCACAATTGTTTGTAATCATTTAAACTGTTGAAATTATGTTACTCATAATAATAGTGAATTATGTCAGTGAATAAATGTCATAGTCTCGAATAACATACTTTAATAGTATCGAGGTTAAAATTCTGTTTAATCGCGTTATAGCAATGAAAATTTTGAAGGTCAGTAGATAAGTATCTTTAGGCTCTAAAGTTATAAAAAGGTAATTATTGGATTTTTTGGAAAAATATTCATGATATTCTGTTAAAATAAAACTTTTACTACTGTCTAAATTATTTGCCACCGAATGCCCTGGTATGGACGAGAATGGGGAGTGTCCGCTCTCTCTATCTCTCTCTCCCGAAATGCTCTCACATAGCCATATTTATATAGCCTCTGCCACAAAAGTTCTACTCACTTCTTTGTCGCACAATGGGTATTGTTTACAAAGGTGAGAGGACGAAAAGATAATGTCCGGCGATTTAACCGGGTTGGAAGACACGTAAAGTTTACCTAACGGAGTTGGAAAACCCTGATTCCAAACCAATGGTACACATGCTCCGGCTCCAGTATCCTGAGGGAACGAATGGCGTATAGACTAATCGTCGGTCACCGGCTAACATAGGACGGCATCTCCTTACGATGCTCCACTGTCTTGTGGATGAGAAATTTAGGTCAAAGTCTCAGTCCCTAAGAAAACCACTTGTTTCAGTTTGGGCACCGGAGCAGTATCACAACCCTCACACAAATCAAATGAGATTTGTGTGGCGCGTATATATCTGGTGCCCCTTTGTACCAATATTTATGTGTTTAAATCAAAATAAATAAAATTATTTCGATCTAGTTATTCGATCATATATTGAACAGCTTATTAATTTACTTAAGTTAATATGGAAAACAATTGTTTCTTCACGTATAAAACATTTTGTACAGTTCCTATTTAAAAATTGTGTATACTTTTGAGGTAAAAAGCTTTTGAAATTCGTGTTGTTCTTAGATACTTTTCCTGTCTATATTTTATATTAATCACCCACCGGAGTAGTATGGGATTGTATGCACATTTCATTAGCTTTGTGCCGTTACGGTACAGCAGAGACCTAATAAAATCTCTTCGTTATCGAATTAGTACTATATATATAACTGATACCATGGAGAGTTTATATATATATTTGACCACAGGTTAGAATTAGGGAAACAAATGGTGAATAAAAATTCTCTTTTCATGCAGGCGGTGGAATTGTTCATGCATAAACTATATATTTAAACTTGATATCTGTTAATCAATATTTTCATTTTACAGGTTTCAATTCCGCTTAATGAATCACGATTATCAATACATTGTACTACTGAGCACCGATAACGAATCCTTTTCTAACGGTCACTCTTAAATCCAATTAATCTTAATCATTCAACAAGAATTTACGTTATTTAATAGGGGAATTTTTAATTATTCAAACTATCATCAATATATTATTGGATCTAATAATTCGAAATTTGAAGTAGTCTTCAGGTTATCTTACTTGGTTCAAGTTTCGTTGAAACCAGTCAGGAAGATATAGTTCCTGCTGGATGTCATATGTATCATTTTGATGAGTTCCAGTAGGCAATAAGCCTAGAAACACGGTTTCTTTTCAACCACCCCCAGTTATCAAATGATCAAATAGATATTTAGTATGTTAGATACATTTCAACATGATCATTTAAATTGTATAACTAATAGAGATAAAAGAAACGGGACATTTGTCACTACGCATTGATGAATCATCTTCATATTGATCATAAATTCGGTAGAAATTAATACTTGAACTATTAAACCTCATTATTTTTATGACCTTTCGAAAAAAAAGTTCTTTCATCAACTAATAACTAAACTCATAAGTACATTCATTTAGTTGTCAAGATCCCATTTAATTTAATCCTTAATTACCTATTAAAGTCATCATTGACCTTTTGTAATCAGTTAATCCCTGATATTATCACCTAATATAAATATAATTTAAATATCGATATCAAAATTTAATAACCGTGTTATCTTCAAGCAATTAGTTATATACTAGTCTGAAAAACGAAACAAAACAAAGAAACCTACATACTTTAACCGTTACATTGAATAGTTCCTTCATTGTAATATGCTTATTTTCAATGTTATTGAAACTTTTCTGTGGGTTGACGTGTTATATACATTTAAAAAAAAAATTGATCAGTAGTAATATATATATATATATATATATATATACCGGCCATAGAAACAATTTAAAAGAATGAGTATTAATCCAATGCAGGAGCAATAAAAAACATGAACAATAGTAGATAATAACTGTGATTTATCGGAAGTAGAACTTTAATCTATACAAATGATTAAATTCACTTGGTATTATTTGTTTGAATCTTCCCATCGATGTGTTAGGACTGCAACTGGTCAGTCTTTAATTGGCATATGTGCATACTGTGCGTATTGCCTCAATATAGCCTTAATTCACAAGCATGGTAAGCAGAGATGGATAGTGGCTAGCAGTGGTATCCAGGACGCGCGTTTCGTCCTATACGAATGATTGATATAACCAAATACTTCAAAATTTAGTGATTAATATCAACAACGTCATGTCATGATGTAATCGTCAAACCTGTTGGATGAGTAAATGACATTCTGGATCAGCTAAAATGTTTTGTGTTTACACTTTTGTCTCAAAAAAGAATGGTGCTCATCATTAACATGAAGGTTTTATTTATCAATCCTATAAATTTCCATATAGAAATAAAGAATCAACTATAACTCATGGTATACTGGCAAATATAGATATAGAGAATGGGTGACTTTAAAACATTAAATCATTTATACAAAGATAAAACCATTTCTGTTATATCTCTAGCGAAGATATAAGTACGGGCAACTTCCGGGACTTATTAATGGACTATTATTCTATATATATTCTTATTGTTTAACTATTGAATGATTAGATTATGTATACCTATTATAAGCTTCATTTTGACCTATGAATAATTATTATACAATTTACTGTCCATAAATTATATTCAGTTTATTGATTATTGTCTCCCAAGTTCACCGCCACATTTGGCTTGATACTGTACAAATATTATTTTTTATTTTATGGTGTGATGTGGTCTGTCTGTCTAGTATATAAACAGAGTATGTTTGAAATGAACGATTCGCATAGATTTGTATAACAGAAGCTTATAATAAGATGAATAATGATATATACAATCTAGTTACTCAGTAGTTATACAATAAGAATATATATAGAATAATCATCCATTAATAGGTTCTGAGAGTTACCCCTACTTATATCTTCGCTAGGATACAACAATTTCCATTTGGTTGACAAGTTATAAATACTTGACCTGAATGAATTCATATTATATTTTGCATTTAAGGTTAATTCAAATAATTTTATATTTCGTCTTATGTTGTTCATGGTTATAATCTAATCAGTTCAAGTATTTGTCACTTTACTTGACAGTTGATTCTTAAAGATTATACAGTTTTATTGAAATATGATAATAACCTCATGACAATATCGTCTTTACTAAAAATTCTAATTGTCATTTATTGTTTATTATTAGCTTAGAAGTCTGACAACATAATCTTTACACTTTTACTGCGGATTTCACGATCTTGTGTTTTATCTTTGATAAAGTCGCCTGTGAACACTGTTAAATAGACCTATATTGGTACGAAATAGCTATCCAAATTTTGTTAGCTATTATTGTGACCCCATACTTAAGTTCTGATCCACGATGTGGGTGTGTGTTCGAATCCCACCTCCGATATACACTTACCCACAACACTGCCAGAGAAGTCCTACTCATTGTCTTCTCTCTATGGTTTTGTTTGAGAAATTGAGATGAGTGAAAGAGAATGTTCGGAGCTTCAACCGAGTCGGTGGATACGGAGGCTCCACCTGGAGGATTTGGAGAACCCTAATCCAGAACAAATGGTTCACATGGTTCCAATACCCTAAGGGAACATAAGGCGTATGAACCTTTTGTTGGTAACCAGCTACCATGGGATTGCATCTCCTAACGTCGCTCCACTACTTTTTGTATTAGACCTATAGGTCAAAGGCTAGGTACTGACTCCCGAATAAATCCCCCTGCTTTAGCTTGGGCTCCCGAACAGTATTCCAGCCCTCAGACATGTCGAATGTTAAAGTGTGCCGCATAAATATTTGATGCATCCTTGTACCAATGCTTATGTGTTTAAGTAAATAAATAATCTCATAGATTCATGACATATCAATTCAGTTATATAATAGTCATATAATACACCCATGTGGGCCAGTGTAATTTTGCCCTGATTTTCAGGAGAACTAGACACCATCCAGACTTTCACGTGACAACCCAAACAGTACAGCTCAATAATGCGGCGCAACGACACAGGTACCAAGCACCCTAGTGGACCAATGACATAACAATTACTGAATAATAAATAATCTTTACGAATCACTTTGCCTATTCAATAACTATTTATTTTTAAAATTTTCATTGTTTAAATAAAAAGTTTCCTAATTTTACACTACTTAGTAACAAATTAACAATGATTTCATATATTCCTTTACTACAGTTTGATAAGAAACTCCCTTGAATCCAATGAATGAAACAAATATATTATATCATCGTCCATTATATCCACGTATGGGTGTACAACATATACGTAAAGAATTTATTAAATTGGGAACAAAACTTGAAACTGAAAATTCAACTATCATGATGAAAAATTATAGTCCTAATAAGTATCTAAGGCAAAGTCATATATCAATAACTGAACAACAAAAAAAAGATAATCATAAATTACAAGAGAAATCGAAGACATTGAGAAGTGGACAAATGTTACTTAATACAATTATGCCAACTACAAGACAGCCAATTAAAGCAAAGCATACATTACGTAATCGAAATATATCTGAGTTAGAAATGTATGTTATACATTTTGTATAAAATGCATAAGTCTGAAATGTATTGGTAATGAGAATTTATATTCTAATGTGTGCATGATAATGTATTATGAGATTGTTTGGGTATTAAACGTCCTCCATGAGACTAATGGCTATGAGATCGATCCCTGGTTTGGTCGAACTGAACTAAGTGAAACGAGGTTTGTATCCTATAGATACACCAATTGAAAGATATGGGATCTAATCATGAAAACTACTGTTTCGCTATTATTCAAGGATGAATAGATAGACATGTCTAGAAGTCATTTTCACACTTGTATTCATGAGTCACTTTAAACTAGACAACCATTGAGAACCTAGAAGCACTGGTCGGCCGTTTTGCCCTTGTACGAGACTCTTCAGCAGTGCTCATCCAAGACTCGTTATCCATAACTCGAACCAAGGACCTTCGGTCTCAAGTACAAAGGCTTAATCTCTAGACCAATTTGTCATTTTCTATTATTTTAACAAAAATCATTTTTAATATGATATTGGGTTGTAAAATCATAGGTAAACATAGTGACTATATACATGTATGTAATCTCGTAATACATGAACTTAATGACAGGTTAGCAAGTATATATCATATCATATATGTTAGTTGAAAGAACAGTATGTTCATTAGAATATAGTTTCCAATGAAATAATTTAACGGGAATTAAGAAAACTGACTAAATAAGCCCACTATATATGTCTGAATTTATATCACCTATAATTATGTATCCATAATAGTTGCTATGCTTGTTTCTAATATTCAAATATTAAGTATTTATATGTATATATATTTCATTGCTAGAAATACGTCCATGAGAAACGACCAGAATCTTTGTAATAGTTCAAATATTGATGATGTTAATTGTTGGAGAACAACTAACTGTGATGCAAAAGAATCAAAAAAGGTTGTACATAGTAATTCGGTTACATCATCAACTGATTTATGTCCTTGTCAAACAACAAAAATATTTCCTAATCCAGATATACAAAGAAGAGTTAGTACAGATGATGTTTCATTGACAAAATCACCAAGATTCACAGATTTAAGTTGGAGTAATGGTAAGATATTCAGATATTTTGAAATTTATCCTGTTAGGATTGAACAAAATAATTTATTTCGATAGAATCATTAATGAATAGGATTGTAATGGTGGACTTTTTTTCAGTCCAGTTTTGCACCAGTCGGAAGAAAAGTTGATTCGCATGAATTATATATTAGCATAAAATTTATGTTGTCACAATGGATATAAAGTTAAAATTTAAAACACGTTCTTCTAGACTGTCGATAGTTTTCACCATCTTCAAACCATTAAAAAATCTGATAAAAGATTCGATCAGCTGGATCATATACCATTTTTCGGAAACAAATTAGTTTCTCCAAGCTTACCTACATTATATTTAAGTTGCTTTTATGGAGGCTCATTAGATTATTTACGAAATGTCATTCATAGTTAACAACTTCGTAGTTGTACCGCAATCTGTAAATTTTCTACATGATCTTCAATTTTCTTTGTAAACAACTATACTATAACGGCTGTCGAGACCAAAGTCACTGGAGAAGGGTGCAAAATTAGAACTTTATAGATAGTGGAAACTTAAACATTCAAATAACTCAATGATTACAAATACAATGACAGGTCGAATATAAACTGTGTTATTTACTTAAAAAAAGGTTCTGATTGATAGTTCCGAAATTAAAAAAAACTTATATGTTTATAGTCGAAAGCGTGAGTCAATTGAAGCTAGACCACTAGGGAAATCCTGGAAGCAGTGGACGGCAGTTTCGTCTTATTGTGGGACTCCTCAGCAGTGAGCATTCACGACTTCGCTTCGCTAGGTTTGAACCCAGGACCTACCAGTCCCACAATGGAACGAAACGGCCGTCCAGTGCTTCCAGCTTCTCCCTAGTGGTCAAGCTTCAATTGACCCACACTTTCAACTATAAAAATACTAAATCTTGACAAAACCCCTTCTGATTATGTTCTTTTAGTTACTTCTTGATTTGAATGCATTTACCAAGTTATTTTAGTTTACTATTATGATATATAATAATTTTTGTTTAATCATATTTGAATTTGATATAGATAAATCCACACCAGCAAAGCGACAGAATATAGATCACTCCTGTATTGCAGCGAATGTGGATCTACAGAATAGGTAAGTCTATCGATGATATGATTGTTTATATGTTATCATGTGGTACATTAAGAATCTACCGTTCTTAGAAAGGTAATTTTAGCTTAGCTAGTCAGTTAGTACATGTAAAATATACTGAATGATTTTTAAAAAATATTTATGTGTATACTTCAAAATTCACTCTAAGGAATATATGATTTAGTAGTTGATTTCATGAGTTGATTTAAACTAGACTACCATTGGAAACCTGGAAGCAATGGACGGTCGTTTCTTCCTGCTATGTGGTTACTCAGCAGTGCTCATCCACGTCCAGTGCTTCCAAGTTTTCAATGGTGGTCTAGCTTAAATCGATTCATGAATTGAATTATTAAATTACTACAATCTCCAAAAAAACCCATTCGAATATATAATCGTATAGGGATTTGTTTGTTATACGATGCTGATGATGATGATCAGAATTACGTCTACTACTACCTTTATATAGCAGACAGATAGTTGTGAATAATTTACTACGCCTGATATTTCTTTTTAACAAATGTAACTGGGATAAATAGATTGACGTGGTGTTTAACAAGTAGCATTTGATGATAATAACAGTCATAATTATAATAATGACAATAACAATAAGAAAAAATGAACTGCATAATCGTATGGACCAGTTACTGACACGATCCGACAGACTGTCACTTCATTTTATGTCTAAATCTTAATCTACGAAAAGTGTGTGCTCTTGATTTAATCCAATATTGTTGAAGAATTTAACCTTTATTGACCTAGTTATCTGAGATGTGTTTTACGCATCAATAGCCATAGTATGTCTTGACATGTATTGGTGACTTGTGTAAGTTAGGAAAGATTAGGAGCGATCAAACTGATGGTATTGCATTCATTATATTGAGTTATTGTTTCTTGAGTTGAAGAATTTTAAGAAAAATATCATTACCTGACTGAAATTCATAGTTTTTCTTACCCTCAGTCTGAATTGTATGTTACAACTCTTATATATATTCGCAATTCTTATTAGTTTTCTGCCATAAACATCATTATTATTCGGACAATTTTACATCTCACGTTAACTTTTTTAAACTGTACTGATTCGAAGCGCAGGAACAAGGTCTGATGAACATATGTGACAAGTCGTACATTGTTTCTGAACTATTAACTGATTGATTATTCAGTACTGATGATTTAACTCCAGTAATATATGCAGATTCATTTAATCCCTTTTAAGTCACATTTTATGTGTCAGGGCTACTGAAACTACTCAGCTTGCCAGACTGATGTAGGTGAACCTGGACCCGAAATTAAGAAGTAAAGGCTGAAAATTGGATGCCATAACTACTAACTTACTTGTCCTTGATTATTGTGTGGATACAAAAATGAAAAATAGAAATGTCCGATTGTTATGACTTTATAAAAGAAAGCCGTTGCCGATTTGTTATGATTTCATGTCCGGCTTTTTATCACGTGAATTATCCACCAACCGAAATACGACTTGTCTAATCTTAACACTGTACCAAATTAGTGACGTTCAACTGGCATGAGCAGTCTAGAGTCCTTATTGGTCCATTGTCCGCCTAGACCTTCTAATTGAGTCTAGAACACCAATTTCAGCTTCTGCTATCCGAATCATTTATTTCAAGCATACTCGGTTTATATATGAGACAGACGGACCGCATCATACCATAAAATAAAAAATAATATTTGTACAGTATCAAGCCAAATGTGGCTGTGAACGTGGAATACAATAGTCAATAAACTGAATATAATTTATGGACAGTAAATCGTATAATAATAATCCATAGGTCAAAATGAAGCTTATAATAAGATGAATATAAATATACACAAACTAGTTACTCAATAGTTAAACAATATGAATGTACATAGAATAATAGTCCATTCATAGGTCCTAGGAGTTACCTGTACTTATGTCTTCACCAAGATATAAAACCTATATTCTAACATTTAGTGATTATTCATCTGACGTAAACAATATTTTAATCTCGGTTTTTATCTTGGATTGTAATTTAGTAATTTACATTTAAGCAGATGTCATGGTAAATTTATTCCCTATTCAGATAAGCGCTTTCAATAAGGTCTAACTAGTATTCTCTCGTTTTTCTATCCACAGAATCAATAGAAACGATAGATTGTCAGAACATTCACTAAATTTTTCAATCAATCAAATACCTACAACTGACTATTCGTCAATGTATTCTTTCAATACCAACTCTTGTTTATCATCATTATCATCATCATCATCACCATTTAATTTGAAAAAACAAACTGTTTCTTTAAAAAGACGTAGTCGATGGAGTGTTGATATATCAAAACGATCTACACGTCGTAGTAGTACAGGAAGTCTTAAAGTGAAACAATTGGATATTGAACAAAATAACAAGAACTTAAATATGAAAGATACAATTCTAGAGTCAAAATTAGATCGTTCTGATCTATTTAAAGTGATCAGACGATCAGCCCGTCGAACATTAAGTAGTTTGTGTAACGTATTAAGATATTCCAATTCAAACTTGGCAGCTTCCTTAAACAATTCAAATATTAATGACCATCATGCAAGTTCTGATCCTGTTCATTTTGATGAACACCCTATTGATTCTTCTTTATCCACACTGTCAGTTGAAGTAAATGATCCAGTAAAAGAAAATATTCATAGCTGTCATAATTCACAGAATAACACTATTCTGTCACGATTTGTAACACTGACAAGACCTGATTTAGATGAACCGTTTGGTTTATTCGTCGTCAAATCTGAACAAGGTAAGATGTTGTTTTTCTTAGTGTTAGTCGTTAACAAATATATATATATATATATATATATATATATATATATATATTTGTTTCGCTCCTATCAATCGAAATGAAGATTTTATTGTTAGTCAAATCTTTTAATAGACAATATATGTTGCTTATTATTAAAAGTAGTCTGTTATCTGGATTTATTTATTTACCAGTCAGTTTAGGTTCAGTGAAATCATGGCAATGATTTTAGCTAATGTGCATAAAATTTGGTTATAATTGTTCGATGTGTTTAAGGATTAGGGATCCCAGGAAAATGTGCTGGTACGACCGAGAGTGAGGAGAGTCCACTTCATCTCTCTCTCTCTCTCTCTCGAAATTCTCTCATACCACCCCGCGTATATAACCTCTACCAGGAAAGTCCTACTCATTGCCTTCTCGTGGCAAGGGTTGTGTCTACGAAATTGAGAGGACGAAAAGCGAATGTCCAGCGCTTTGATCGGGTTGGTGGACACGGAAATTCCATCTAGGGGAGTTGGAAAAAACCCTGATTCCAAACCAATGGTGCACATGGGATCAATTATACTGAAGGAACAAATGGCGTATGAATCAATCGTTGGTCAACGGCTACCGTTGGACTGCATCCCCTAACAATGCTCCACTGCTTTGTGAATTGGATCTTTAGGTCAAAGTCTCTGGGTGTGACCGCCTAAGAAAACCGCCTGCTTCATTATCACAGCCCTCACACAAATCAAATGAGATTTGTGCGGAGCATATATATCTGGTGCTCCTTTGTACCAAATAAGTGTTTAAATAAATAAATCCCAGAAAAATTCCTAAAAAGGTTAAAATCTAATATCAGATATTTTGGATCATTTCAATAGTTTAAATTAATGTACGTTTTATAGCATTCGCATTTATTAGTTTAGCGGTGTTACGACAAAAGTAATAATTTGCTCTTTCATTAACTCATTGGGAGTAAATGAGCGACTTGAACTACGAAATATTGTGATTACCACGTGATGACTGTATTTAAGTTAAGAGTACTAGTGGTTTATATTCAGAATATTTCAACTGATTCAAGCAACTTAATGATTATTAGAAGGGAAATTGTGAAAATTTTAGTAATTTTATGTAGTTGAATTCATGAGTCGATTTAAGCTAGACCACCTTGAAAAACCTGGAAGCACTGGACGGCCGATTCGTCGTATTGTGGGACTCCTCAGCAGTGCGAACCCACGATCCCATCTCACGAGATTCGAACGCAGGACCCATCAGTCTCGCGCGTGAGTGCTTAAAATCTAGACCACTGAACCGGCTTCGAACGGTGTTCGTGTCTGAATTTATCCAGTTCACATAATTGAACAACCATCCACCATTGTCTTCAGGGAGTTGATATCTCACAACAGACGTGGTTGAACTCCACTGGTCACTGTTTCTCACTAGAACTCCTGGAAATACCTCTTCAGAATATGTTCATTATTATCAGAATTGTTTTTGTGGAGATTTTAATGATTTTATAGTTGATAGTTCCTGGGTTCTAATCTCATGAGGCGGGATAGTGGATGCACACTTTTGAGGAGTCCCACAATACGACGAAATGTCCATCCAGTATTTCCAGGTTTTCCATGGTGGTCTAGCTTCAATTGGCTCATTTCAACTATATAAACTTAATGGCTTTTTTACCTTTAATTTTGTTTAAGTAAACAGGTACAATCACGGACTTGCTTATGAAAAGTTGTGCTTCAAACTTGTGAACAAAAAAGGTTAAATTTCATCAGTAAGATGTTGAGGTTTTTTTAATCTCATTGAAATCATGAACCGGTTGAATTCCAATAATAAACCCGTTATGTATTATAGAGATTAATCGTTCTAGTACACGACCGAATGTTTTTTGTTCACTCTCTCTTTGCGAGGTAGTAGATGTACAATTCTGAGGAGACCCACACCAGGATGAATAGGTCGTCCAGTGTATTTATGTTTCCAATTGTAATTGTTAATATGTTGTGGCTATAATTACAATCATTACAATAATGAACTGCTACTTGAATACATAAGCCTAATTGTATTATTCATATATGTGACTATTATTTCTTTACAGGTTATCGTGTCACACGTCTGTCAGAACGATTCATTCAAAACAATCCAACCAATAAAATTTGTATTGGTGATGAAATAATCCAAGTGAATAAAATAGACTCAATCAAATTTACTATTCATGAATTACAGGAATTATTTCAAAAAAGTCAAACACTTTTATTGACAATCATTCGTCGATAATAATTGACTTCATCACATCATTATCTTCATCATTCCATTACGTGATAGTTTATAGTCCCATATAGAGTATTTATAACATTCTATCTTCCGATGTTAATCCCAGAGTTACCTGTTTTATTATTACTATTGATTGATTGACTTTGATTATTTTGTGAATACTTCCTTATTTTCTTTACTTTTCATTATTATACTTTTGTACAGAATAAAAATAGTGATTTATTTATGTTGTTGTTATTATCATTAGTTGATTTTGACAATGAAAAGAGTTGTTGAATATAGTAGGTTAATTTATTTTCCAATAATGACATTGGTCATGCATGGTGGAATGATTGAGTGGTTCAATTATAGGCTATAAAGATAAAGTGTTAGGGTGAGACATTAAATTGGTTGAATCTACATAGGATAGGGTGATTAAGATATGTCTTATCTACGAATAACCATCTCCTATATCGACATGTGATATAAACCGGTGTATAAGTGGATTGGAATAAAATAAGGGTAACCTAATCAGATAATGGAATTCTTATTGAATATTTTCTTTAAATAGTCTAAATGTTCGCATGAAATAATGACGTCAGAACTGTGTAGTTCAAATGCCCTGGTACGGCCGAGAGTGGGAAGAGTCCTCTCTCCCTCTCGAAATGCTCTCACATGGCCACGCGTATATAGCCTCTACCAGGGAAGTCCTACTCACTGCCTTCTCACACCATGGGTGTTGTTTACGAAAGTGAGAGGACGAAAAGCGAATGTCCGGCGCTTTCACCGGGTCGGTGGAAACGGAACATTCACCCAGGAGAGTTGGAAAACCTGATTCCAAACCAACGGCGCACATGGGTTGGCTCCAATATCCTGAGAGAACAAATGGCGTATGAACCAATCGTTGGTCACTGGCTACTATAGAACTGCATCTCCTCACGATATTCCGCTACATTGTGGATCAGATCTTTAGGTCAAAGGCTCCATGTCCCCCCCCAAGAAAACCACCTGGTTCAGTCTGGGCACCCGGGCAGTATCACAGCCCTCACACAAATCGAATGAGATTTGTGTGACCCATATGGGAATATGCAAACAAACAATAGAAAGTGAATTTAAACTTCACCCCATTGCACAAGCAAATGGCTATCAGGACTCAGTAGCTGAGTGGATAACTCGATGGCGTTTAAAGCAAAAGTTACTGGGTTCGAGTCCCTGAGTAAACATCAACACTGTGATGCAGATACATCTAGTTGACGAGTCCTGAATAGGACGAAACAAGCTTCAAAATGGATTCCACTGCTAGTCATTATCCATCTTTGCTTAAAAATTCTTTATAGCTTTAATTTTAATCATAAACATGAAATAACCTTCAAATTAGTTTAGTCTAGTTTATATAAAAAAGTACTTTTACAACGTAAAATATAAAAGATTTTCTGATTTTAATAGAATCTAACTGAATATCTACCATTGTTGGTTATTAATAACCATAATAATAATTATTATGATTGTGAGGACAACTCAAATTGTTGATCACCATATCGATTTTTGTAACTGACCTTAATAATATTGATTATTCCTCACTTTCTATATATCTGATGTATGACATAATCATACCTGTTTCAGTCTGGGTACCCGGGCAGTATCACAGCCCACACAAATTGAATTGTGAATTGTTTGGCATATATATATTCGATACCCCTTTGTACCAATATTTATGTGTTCAAATAAATAATATTAAATTCACTTAGTATTGCTTGTTTGAATCTTCTCATTGATGTTTAGGACTGCAACTAGTCAGTCTCTTATTGACATATGTGCATACTGTGTGTATTGCCTCGATATAGCCTTATTTCACAAGAATTTTAAGCAAAGATAGATAGTGGCTAGTAGTGGAATCCAGGGCGCGTGTTTCGTTCTATTTGGGACTTCTCAACCGGATGTATCTGCATCACTCTGGGACTCGAACCCTGTACCTTTCGCTTCAAACGCCATTGAGTTATCCATTCACCTGCTGAGACCTGATAGCGACTTACTTACTTACTTACTTACGCCTGTTACCCCTCGTCGAGGAGCATAGGTCGCTCACCAGCATTCTCCATCCAACTCTGTCCTGAGCCTTCCTTTCCAGTTCTTTCCAGTTGCTATTCATCCTTTTCATATCGGCTTCTATTTCCCGGCGTAGTGTGTTCTTTGGCCTTCCTATTTTCCGCTTCCCTTCCGGATTCCAAGTTACGGATTGAGTCCTGATGCACATTGGTGATTTCCTTAATGTATGTCCGATCCACTTCCAACGTCTTTTCCTTATTTCCTCTTCAGCTGGAAGCTGGTTTGTCCTCTCCCATAAAACGCTGTTGCTGATAGTATCCGGCCAATGGATGTTGAGTATTTTGCGTAGACAACTGTTTATAAATACTTATACCTTCCTGATGATGTCCGTAGTAGTTCTCCACGTTTCAGCTCCATACAGTAGGACTGTCTTGACGTTCGTATTAAAGATTCTGACCTTGAAATTGGTTGAGAGTTGTTTTGAGTTCCATATGTTCTGCAATTGTAGAAATGCTGCCCTTGCTTTGCCAATCCTTGCCTTTACATCTGCATCCGATCCTCCTTGTTTATCAACGATGCTCCCCAGGTACTTGAATGTTTCCACCTCTTCCAGAGTTTCGCCATCAAGTGTGATTGGGTCGGTGTTCTCCGTGTTGCATTTGAGAATCTTGCTTTTTCCTTTGTGAATGTGGAGGCCTATCGATGCGGAGGCTGCTGCTACATTTGCTGTCTTCATCTGTATTTGGTCGTGTGTATGAGAGAGGAGGGCTAGGTCATCTGCGAAGTCCAAATCATCTAATTGATTCTGAGAAGTCCATTGTATTCCGTATTTCCCTTCAGATGTCGAATTCGTCATAATCCAGTCAATCACTAGAAGGAAGAGAAATGGGGAGAGTAGACAGCCTTGTCTGACTCCGGTCCTTACTGGAAATGCATCTGTCCTCCATGCACGACTTTGCACTGTAGTCCATCGTATGAGTTTTGGATAATGTTGACAATCTTTTCAGGAACTCCATAGTGTCGAAGAAGTTTCCACAATGTTCTCCTGTCCACGCTGTCAAACGACTTCTCATAGTCAATGAAGTTGATGTATAGTGATGAGTTCCACTCAATTGATTGTTCAACGATGATCCGTAGTGTCGCAATCTGGTCTGTGCATGATCTATCCTTACGGAATCCAGCCTGTTGATCCCTAAGTTCGGCGTCTACTGCGTCTTTCATCCGATTCAGCAGCACTCTGTTGAAAACTTTTCCTGATACTGATAACAAACTGATGCCTCTGTAGTTTTCACATTTGCTCAGATCTCCTTTCTTCGGCATCTTGATGAGGTATCCTTCTTTCCAGTCCGTTGGCACTTAATCCTCTTCCCAAATCTTCTTGAATAGAAGGTGAAGCATGTTTGCAGTTATTTCAATGTCTGACTTCAGTGCTTCTGCTGGTATATTGTCAGGTCCTGCTGCCTTCCCACTTTTGATTTGTCTGATGGCCATCTTGACTTCTTCGATCGTTGGTGGAGTGACATCTATTGGAAGGTCAGTGTGGGCTGCTTCGATGTTCGGTGGATTCGATGGGGCTGGTCTATTCAGCAGTTCCTCAAAGTATTCTGCCCATCTTTTCCTCTGTTCCTGAATCTCAGTGATTGTCTTTCCTTCTTTGTCTTTGACTGGTCTCTCTGGTTTGCTATATCTCCCTGCCAATTTCTTCGTTGTATCATATAGTTGTTTCATATTCCCTTCTCTTGCAGCTTTTTCCGCCGCCGTTGCTAGTTCTCCCATGTATTTCTGCTTGTCGGCTTTAATGCTTTTCTTCACTTCTCTGTTTGCTTCTGCGTAGTCTGCTTCTGCTTTGACTTTCTCTGCTCGTGTTCGGCTGTTGTTAATTGCTAGTTTCTTGTTCTTCCTTTCTTGAAGTTTGTCCAGGGTCCCCATAGAGATCCATTCCTTGTGATGGTGCTTCTTAGGACCAAGAACCTCCTGACACGTTGAAGTTAGTGCTTCTTTTATCCCTTTCCAGTTGTCCTCCAAAGTAGTTTCTTGTTCTTTCAGTAGATCCTGTAGAGCTTGGAACCTGTTGTTGAGAGTTATCTTGAATTCATGGAGTTTGTCAGTATCTCGAAGGAAGGCTGTATTAAACCTTTGTAGTGCTGTTTGTCCAGTTGTCCAGTCTTTCTTTAGCTTCAGTCTCATCTTGGCCACAACCAGGTGGTGATCTGAAGCTATGTCAGCTCCTCTCCGGGTTCTCACATCTTCCATTGATCTTCAGAATTTTTTGTTGATACAGATGTGATCAATCTGGTTCTCTGTGGTGTGGTCCGGTGAGATCCATGTAGCTGTGTGTATGCGTTTGTGTGGGAATATTGTGCCGCCTATAACCAATTTGTTGAAAGCACATAGGTTTGCAAGTCTCTCCCCATTTTCATTTCTCTCTCCTAGTCCATGTCGTTCAATTACATCTTCATATCCTGTGTTGTCCACTCCAACTTTAGCATTTAGATCTCCCATAAGGATGGTGAGGTCCTTTCGTGAGCACTTTGCTATAATTGATTGCAGCCTTTCATAGAACTGATCTTTATCATCGTCGTTGCTATCATTGGTGGGTGCATAACATTGGATAACATTCATTGTGATCCCTTGCTTCTTTGTTCTGAATGATGCTTTGATTATCCTGGGTCCATGAGATTCCCATCCCACAAGTGCATTTCGTGCTTCTCTGGACAGAATTAGAGCAACTCCCTGAGTGTGTGGCGCATTTTCCCCTTCGTGACCGGAGTACAGCAGCATCTCTCCTGTACCTAGCCTTTGTTGTCCAGTTTGTGTCCAATGGGTTTCGCTGATTCCGAGTACTGCCAATTTGTATCTCCTCATTTCCATTGCTATTTGGTTGGTCTTTCCTGTTCCCCACATTGTCCGAACGTTCCATGTACCTATAAAGAGTGTTGCTCTGGTTGTTAGAAGGTGCATCGGTCTCGTGACTTCCGAAGAATTTCGGCTTTCATCATGAGACGTCATTATTCCTTCAACTCCCAGGGCAGAGTTTAAATGGTTTGGATTATTTTTTCTGGTTAGCGTTTTTTTAGCGAGTTAGCTTTTCTACGGGATGGGGTCGCTAACCCCATGCTCAACCCTCCTCCTTTGTGTGGGCTTGAGACCGGCAGTAACTCTAGAAGAGCTACAGGCGGAGTTCTGATAGCGACTTGGTTCAATAATATTATTAAATTAGTCAAGAGAATTAGTATATTAACAATAAATCGTTATTTAATTTTGTTTTATTTCTGTCTTTTTTTTAAAAAATCAGCTAAATATGGTTTATGGTAAGTGGATAACATTATGGCGTTTGAAGCGAAAGGTACTGGGTTCGAATCCCAAAGTGAACACAAACTCTGAGATGCAGATACATCCAGTTGATGAGTCCCAAATAGGACAAAATGTGCGTCCTGGATTCCACTGTTAGCCACTATCCATTTTTGCTTATAATACTTGTAAATTAAAGCAATATCAAGGTTATAGGCACTGTATAAATATATGCCAATAAGAGACTGATGAATTGCAGTCTTAAACATCAATAGAAAGTTTCAAGTAAACAATTTCATTTATTTTACTTCAAACAGTGTCATCAACCAGAGTTACCTTTAAAAACTAGGGAGAAATGAACAGAAGTATTAAACTTTCTTACTAAAATATGATCACTTGCTTATTGATGAATTGTGTCGAGTTCAGTCAATTCAAGTGGAGATACTTATCATCAATCGCATTGGATGACTGTCATATCATAGAGCGAATCCATTGAGATTGAAAGCATATATCATTGATTTCCTACAAACTGATCTACGAGTTAATTGTTTGATTTGACACAGTGGATACTCATGTGCTCGGTAATTATACATTAAAAAGTAAGAGACTCTATGAATGTCGCCAGTCCATGACGAATACCAGCCAAGATTTTCGTATGATGTTTATATTTCACAAATTTCTGAGGAATGATAATTATGTATGATCTCCATAAAATGGAATCGTTTTAGTTAAGTATTAGATTTTTACAGATAATACTGTTTAATTTTGTTTCTATATTGTGATTATATTTACTAGGTGGTTGAAGATAGTCGTTAAGACTTCATGAAATTGGTTTCCTATGGGTTGTTAATTATTGGCGATGGAGCTCTACAGCTTTAAAAACAACTATGTTCCCTATCCTCAGCCAATTTTTCCTGACATACGGACAGAACCATTATGACATAGCTTTCCAGATAGTAAGTAATCAAATTTTGTCACTATTGCTTACAGCTTTATAATTTAGATGAGTATTTTCCAGATATTTGTAATATTAGAAAATGTTTACCATGACCAAAAAACATAACCTGTAGGACCATTGAAAATCAAGGTATACTAAGAAGTTGTTACCTCCTAGTTAGGACTCTTTAGTAATACATACCTAGTCGGTATTAATTAATATACTAAATAACATTTAAGTTTATTCACATTCATTTCATATACAGGAGATTTTCATCTATATTTCATTGAAACCGAATTTGTTATTCTCTGTAGTAGCTATTTTATAATAAAGATATATTTTAATAGTTGAGATCATTTTTCTTTCACCTTGAGATCATGAATCAATTGAAGCTAGACCACCTTGAAAAACCTGGAAGCACTGGACGGCCGATTCGTCGTATTGTGGGACTCCTCAGCAGTGCGAACCCACGATCCCATCTCACGAGATTCGAACGCAGGACCCATCAGTCTCGCGCGTGAGCGCTTAAAATCTAGACCACTGAACCGGCATCAAACGGTGTTCATGTCTGAATTTATCCAGTTCACATAATTGAACAACCATCCACCATTGTCTTCAGGGAGTTGATATCTCACAACAGACGTGGTTGAACTCAACTGGTCACTGTTTCTCACTAGAACTCCAGGAAATACCTCTTCAGAATATGTTCATTATTATCAGAATTGTTTTTGTGGAGATTTTAATGATTTTATAGTTGATAGTTTCTGGGTTCGAATCTCATGAGGCGGGATAGTGGATGCACACTTTTGAGGAGTCCCATAATAGGACGAAATGGCCATCCAGTATTTCCAGGTTTTCCATGGTGGTCTAGTTTCAATTGACTCATGAATTCAACTATATAAAATTACTAAAATCTCCATAAAACCCCTTTTGATCATTTGACTTTATTAAATAGATTGAATTTAATATGTGGGTATACACATTTTGAACATATTCCTTTCCTTATCCCAAATTCAATTACCTTGTATATGAGATTAAATTGATAATCTCAGTAAAGTTAATTATTATTATATCATTCAAATGTTTCTAATAGTTAATCGTTTTATTTTCCAATGGACAAATCATTATTGATTCATACAAAAATATGTTAAATAATTGAGGCTATCTAAAACAAAGTTCAACAACCTTTTTGTTTTCTACGATCCAATTACATACATAAACAGGAAAAAAAAACATTTTTTTTCTCTATAGAATGGATACTAAAATTATATCATATAGCTGATCACGCGTGTATGTTTGTATGTATGTGTGTATGGATAGAAGGGGTATAGGGATCAAATGAATGACCGGTTAGTTCGGGGGGGGGATAATTAACTCATTCATTTGTATTATATAATCCGATATATCAAATAACCAACGTTAATTAATTATAAATATGAAAACAAAAACAACAAAAAAATAAAAAAACTTCCCACATTTCCCAGTTTAATTTAATATTTCACTAAGACAAATACAATAAGAATATGATTATAACAACAGATATACAAATGGATTCAATAAACAGATTATAAACTATACAATGTTCATGATAAATTTGCACTGGATGAATGGGGGGTAGGAGGAGGTGATGATTTGTTTCTAATTAAAAAAAAATGAAATACAGAATGGTAAATTGAAAATGTACACTGTTTTATTATTTTTTATATGTGTGTTTATGAGAGGAACAATAAACGGTAATAATAAATATGAAGCCAAATATTAAGAAAAATAACGTAGATTACTGTGTATATATGGTAAAGGGTATATAGCAGTTAAAAAATGTATACGGTTTCATTAGTCAGTTTTTGTGTAGTAAACAATTAAATGTTAAATGATGATTAGTTTCAATGAAAGATAATAAGCTTAAATGTATGTTGTTTCGATTAGTTACAGTGATGTTTCATTTGTACAACTAACTTCCTTGATGTTAAATAACGGCTAAAATGAAAAGCATTATTTTGAGATCATGAACTAATCAATGTTAGACCACCACCTGGAAGCGCTGGACTGCGGTTTCGTCTTAGTATTAGACACCTTAGCAACATGCATCTACGATCCCACGCATGGGGACTCGAACCTCAAATCTCCTGTCAAAAGCAAACGCCGGAACCCAAAAGTGTTAGTGTTCAACTTCAAATAAACTATGATCTTGCGCGATCATTGATCGGTTAATGATCACAATAAAAAACTTAACAATCTCTGCAACCCTATACTGATAAAGTGAAAAAGTTAGCTGATATTCTAATCAAGATTCATGACTTTGGTAAAGCAGGGGTATACAAGTAACATAAAATGAGAGAGTCCCAAACTTCATAACAGAACTAATGAGACCAAGGCGATTTATAAAGCAAATTTATTTACAGACTATTATACTTTTGGATAGCGAATAATGTTGATATTTAAGGTATGTATTTCGTCTTATTTGACATTTGTCAGCAGGATGTGGCTAGATCCCAATGTTGACGAATGCGAGCTGAGATTTGGAACTTGTATGTGTCACATTACACGTCAACAATCAACCCACTAATCTACTGAATCCCAGTAGTTACCGGCCTGTTTGGCATTTAACTACAGTTTACGAGCACAGTGTTTCTACAGACGCCTGACAACCCCATGAGTCACATCATTCTATCCCACCTAACCACGAGTTTTACGATAAATGTAGATGTTTAGGTAAGCAAATTCTGCAAAGTTTACCTACAGATCGAGAAGCCTAGAAGTTGCAGTGTACTATAGAGTAGGAAGCAGCATCTGAATCTGATAACTACCAGAAGCTATTTCAGTTCATCCGAGTCTGGTGTGAGTTTCACAAACTGTAAAGCTGATGGCATGCCGATCAATAATATCTATCGACTTCTTGGACGATGTGCAGAGTTTTTCCAAGAACAATTTAACTAGTCTGTTCCTGTTCTCCATAGCCGGTGACGACTAGCTGACTTAACGAGGTGGAAGTCCATAAATAACTCCAACTACTGTAGTGCCACAAATTACAATGTCCACATGATTTACCTGTCTCATTTTAAAGATGGTGATAACTTTCTGGTTAAGGAACTGATTGAACTGTTTATAAGTGTCTGGAAATTATAAAGTGTTCCAACGTCGTGGAATGAGTCGATAGTTACTCCTGTCTTTAAATGGATTTTACCTGACCTGCTGTCACTTATGACCCTGTCAAACTTCAAATGATGAACTCGCCAACTAGAACACTGATTTATATGACCGTGTCCCTGTGCTAAACCAATGATGTGTACCAGCACGAGTAGCCTTTATTCAAGTCTGAGTCCTCGTTGGTCTTCTGTATGGTAGCTCCTAGCTTAACCCAGCTCACTTCAGTTCAGAACACAGATATCAGCCTCCGTTATATGAATCGTATACTTCAGACATACGTCATTTATATACAAGCAGAACAGACCGCATCACACCATAAAATGCAAAATAATCACTATACAAGATCAAGCCAAAAGTGGCTGTGTGAATGGAATACCGTAACTAATAAATTGGGAATAAGTTGGGAATGTTAAGTCGTATAACAGTATCCAATATGTAAAATGAAAGCTTATGATGAAAGGAATACGAATTTATACGCAATATAGTTACTTAGTAATTATTCAGTAAGGATATATGTAATAATAGTCCATAAATAATTCTAACCAGTTACTATTCATTTATTCAACCACTATCGCGGGGATAATTCTACTTCAGATTGTGCAAAATTATTGGCCTCCATCATACTTAGTAGATTGTTCAAAAACCGAAAAATATTGACTCACAGGGAGCAGGCTGGTTTTCGTTCTGGTCGAGGATGTATTGATCATATCTTCACCCTTCACCAAGTGTTAGAACACTGGCATACTTGTCGTAGGCCAACAGTCATTTTGTTTCTAGACACCAGAACCACCTTCGATTAGTTGGATAGGAATGTTCTTTGAGATTGTCTTTGAAGACGAGGCCTTATATACGATCACCTCATGCAGTGACGGCATATAACCACCTCTCTCAATTGTTCCATTCAAGCAGTGGGGTTAGACATGGTTTCTCAATCTAACCATTCATCTTCAACTTTGCCAACTATGACATTCTGGAAACAGCTCTGACAGATGTAGCTAATGGTAGTGTGAATCAGTTGCCTGGAGAAGGATTTTTCGACCTTGAGTATGCAGATGATATTGTCTTACTGTGCGATAATACCCAAGCCATGCAATCCACACTTAACTAGTTGGCAATCAGTGTCCTTAGGTTTGGCATGTGCTTTGTACCTTCTAAGACTGGCAGGACCCTGATCCAGCACTCACTCTGGGTAGTGAGCAGAAAAAAGTAGTCGAGAAGTTCGTGTATCTGGATAGTTTCTAAGCGATGGTGCTGGCATGAGTGATGCGATCAATTTACGTGTAGTTAAAGCCAGAGAGGTTTACGCCTATCTGAATCATAACTGGTGCCCTCGTGATATTAGTCTGGCAGTGAAAGGTCGGATCTATGATGCGTCAGTGAGAGCAGTTTTGCTCTATGCTTGTGAAACCTGACATTTCCCAGTTGACTATGCTTAGCAGTTTTCTGTGTTTTATAATCATTATCTCAGACCAATTACTGACATCCAGTGGCAAAACCACGTCAGTAATGCAGAAGTTGGAGGAGGCAAAATGTCAATAGAGATTGATCCAACTAGATCCGGAATATCAATAACAGGAAAACATTAATCCCTCTGAGTAAAAGTAATAATTACTTACTACTGAATATTTTACATTAAATCTAGATGCTTATTTATGAAACAGTAATAAACATCATGTTTGACTAGTTCATAGTGCTGATTGAATTCTGTCGACTACGTTTCAGTGTGGACACTCTTCTAATTGATCCAGTAGCACATGAACTATGTGACTGAATTACTCAGATTCAAATTCCGCCAACAATATCGGTGACATGAAGATTTAAGGTATGCATTGTTGACCAATAGAAAAGTAATACAAAATCTACAATTGAAGTTTCCTTTTAATTATCTCAAACCACCTAAATTCATGAATATGTAACAGATACTTTCTGTTAAATGGTTACAAATTAGAAGAAATGAAATATACATTACTCTAACATTTCCAATATTTTCCAAATCTCTATCAATCCACCAATCATATAGACTAATCTCTCAATTGTACAAAAATTCACAAGCCACCAAATTAAACAAAATACACTTTGGAAATATTAATGAATTATTATCAGAAGGGATTTTGTGGAGATTTAGTATTTACATAGTTGAAAGCGTGAGTCCATTGAAGCTAGACCACCATAGAAAACCTAGAAACATTAGACGGATGTTTCGTTCCAGTATAAGACTCCTCAACAGTGTTCATCTACAATCCCATCCCGTGGGATCCGAATTCATGAATTCACTTATTAAATTATTAAAATCTCCACAAAAACCCTCTTCTGATAATTACCTAGATTTGTTACAAATTACCTATCATAAACTGAAAAAAAAGAGTAGGTAGGTATTACATACAATAATAAAATTTAATCAAGTGTACATAAATGAACAACAATGAATATTTTATCTTTTTTAATTCATAAGTGGTAATTCTTAGTGCTTCCAGGTTTTCGATGGTGGTCTAACTTCAATTGACTCATGATTTCAACTTTGAAAAATTCTTAATAAACAAAATGATTAAATCAATAAAGGGATTATTTCATTTATGTTTGTTTATAGAGGATTTAATACTAAATCAAAACGTACATACATACATACATACATACACTGTAGTACAGAGGTTATGAGAATTGTCATAGTTAAAAGGTAATCAAAGTCAATTAAATATGGTATGAGTTTATGAGAAGGGAACACTTAAGAATATGTGTTAATTAAATAGATCAAATATACTATCAACTCTGTAATTAAAAAGAGATAAATATGAGAGAATTGGATTATAAAATAAATGAGACATAAAATATATACAAAAATTAATAGTTAAAGAGGGACTAATTATGATTAGTGTGCTCCACATTTCAGACATTACATTTATTCTATACTATTCTACTGAATCTCAGATGAGCACTATTGAGGAGTCTTATAACTAGGACGAAACGGTCATTCAGTTCTTCCTAATGAAGAATATATATAACTTAGGATGTGAAGGTTAGTGTTGTGATCTCTAAACTAGATGATTGTTCTTCTAAACAACATTATCAGGATTTATATTAAAGAGTGACCTTTTTCTTCAGAGCTTAGTGTTTGATTATCTTCTAAACATGTATTAACAAACGTATTAGTTAATTTCATGCAATCAAAACTTCAATTTTCATAGTTGAAATCATGAGTCAATTGAAGCTAGACCACAATGGAAAACCTGGAAGCACTGGACGGCCGTTTCTCACTATTGTGGGAATCCTCAGCAGTGCGCATCCACGATCCAGCACTCTCGAGATCCAAGTCCGGGACCTATCAGTCTCGCGCGCGAGTACTTAAACTCTAGACCTCTGAGCCGGCCGGCATCCAACGGTGTTAATATCTAACTTCAACCAGTCCACGAAATTGAGCAACCGTTCACCAATAGTTTTCAGTGAGTTGATATCTCACAACAGACGTGGTTGAACTCCACTGGTCACTGCTTCTCACCAGAACTCCAAGAAACATCTCTTCAATTCAGTCATTGGTGAGCATTTGATTATAATCAGAAGGGGTTTTGTGGAAATTTCAGTATTTTCATAGTTGAAATCATAAGTGCTCTAGTGCGAGACTGGTAGGTCCTGGGTCCGTCTCTCGCGAGGCGGGATTGTGGATGCGCACTGCTGAGGAGTCCCACAATAGTGAGAAACGGCCGTCCAGTACTTTCAAGTTTTCCATAGTGGTCTAGCTTCAATTGACTCATGATTTCAACTATAAAAATACTGAAATCCCCACAAAACCTCTTCTGAAAACTTCAATTGTTCGGATTATGTTTAAATACAATTCTTTGATAACTGTATAAAAATAAACTGAATAAGTGACAAAAAGTAGAATGCCAACTGTATGTAATAGGTCTATAAATTTTCTATTCTGGAAGAAGAGACATTTATTTCCAAGACAAATGTTATGTTTCTTTGTATACCTCTTTGTCTATCTGCTTGCCTACCTATCTTATTGTCTGTTTCAGATAATTACATCATTCATTCAGTTCTCGTTACAACTATTAACTAATAATTAACAACAGCTGTTTACTACATACAAATAAATTAAATCATGTTATAGAAGTATACATGTATTAAAAATTTCATAATTTAAAAAGTTGCAATTCATGCAATAGACAATATTAAGTGATGGTTACTTGTTTCTTGATGAAGTTTTGTTCATCTATCAGAGTTATAAATATTCTCCACTTGTTTCTTGTTCATTTTGTTTCAATTTTAACTTGGAAACAATAAAATAATCACCATAGTGATATATATATATATATATATATATATATATATATCACTTGATAAACCCTTATTGGGTAGGGGAGTAAGAACTTGATTCATTCATGATTTTTAAGCTCATAGAAACCAAGAAAAAAAATGAAATGGTTCTTTAATCATGAAAATTCTATTTTTATAAATCTTAATCAAATATGAAGATATTAAAATAAGAGTTTATTGTAAATTGTTTCATTTTTATAGTTTGCGGCTAAAACAGAATCTAATTGGGTAATTGTCAATAACCAACGTGGAATGGATAATTGTTTTTCTTCATAGTATGTGTTTTCTTAACAGTGTATATAAATTATCAAGGATCAGGATCTATAAGATTTGTGATGCTCTCGTTACTTTTAAAATTTAATGTAAACCTATGAAATAAAGTTAGTCTCAATTAGGAACTAATCTCATTTGAAGAATCCGTTTCGCTCTAGTGTAGAACTAGTTAACAGAATGTACCGACCAGTTCAACACGAAATCTAGCATAAAAAGGTGGCGATTTTGTTAACAAAATGAAGGTATCGGAAATTTATACAACGAACTGTATTTATTTTAAAGAAATAAAATTTTTTACAGACTTACAGACGAATAAAGTATCTTCATGGTTCGAATCACGAATCGATTTAAGCTAGACCACCATTGTAAATCTGGAGGCACTGGACGGCCGCTACGTTCTACTATGGGACTCCTCAACAGTGCTCATCCACGATCCCTCACACGAGACTCGAACCCAGGACCTTCAGTCACGCTCACGACTGCTTAACCTATAAACCACTTAGTCCAATCCGTGTCAGATGTGAGAAAGTTACCCAATCCAAACAATGGATAAAGAGTTGCAAGAGATCATGGATCGAATGAAGTTAAATAATAACATCGTCAGATGCCGGCTCAGTATTTTGGAGATTAATTGTTTGCGCAAAAGACCGAATATCCGGGTTTCGAGCGCCGCGTGAGGGATCCTGGTTGAGCACTGTTGAGGAGTCCCATAGTACAAAAAAGCGGCAGTCCAATGCCTTCAGAATTACAGTGGTAGTTTAGCTTAAATCAACTCGTGAATTCAACTGTGAAAATGCTACAATCTCTATAAATCCCTACGTGAATAAAATATATTCAAAAGTCAGCGACTTTAGACATGGGTTTTGTAGGTCGTTCACCAGTCAATGAAATTAAGATATGAATATCAAGCATATTTACTATCCACCAAAACAACTTTAACATCAGAAAAAGCAAACAGATTATCTAGTTAAGCAGCTAAACAGTAATATGTATGACAAGTGTATACAAAAATTTCCAATACCTTGCACAGTAAATCCTTCTTCTGATATGTTTTACACAAAGATTACTACAAAATCTTTGCAAATTAATTTAGATATTTGAAATTTTATGTATTCTGAAATTCAAGTACAGTAAATTATTTTATATTACTTGGTAGAACCAACTGTTACTGTAACCTAATACTATTAGCAATTGGCCTAGTGATATATATTGCGCATATGTAATAATTCGACATGATATTTAGTTATTTTTGGATGTAACCATTCACAAAAAAAACTAACTAGAAAGAGAAATAACTTTAATTAGTTTTCACTCAAGGTCATGATTCAATTAAACAGCAAGTGGGATGAACTTAAAAAGCTTGACTAGAAAATATTTGTAAATTGCCAGTGTTTGAGCAAAGATTCCTTCGGAGCATAATTCTTAGATGTTGGGAGCACCGAGTGCTAAACAGATGTGATAAATGGGTTGTTGAAGTGGTGAATCTTCTTAGACTGAGGTAGTTGGGATGAGTATTACTTAAGACCAACCACCACCTACCTCGATGTATGATGTTTTCTGGTGTAAGGAGTAATCTGGAAAAAACAACAAAGGGAGGCTTAATCAAGATGAAGCACTTGTCCATGAAGACGTTGATCCGTAAATGAGGTCATGAACCGACCAATGTTAGACCACCATTTAGAACCTAGGAGCACTGGAGCACTGGTATGGGACTCATCAGCAGTGCGCACCCAAGGTCCCCAGCGTGAGATCCGAACTCAGGACATTCGGTCTTGTGCGCGGACACTTAACCTTTAGACCATTGAGATGAGAATGTCTACCTTCAATCAATTAACGATACTGCGTGACCATCTTCCATTGTCTTCTATGGGTAAATGTCTCACACCCGACATGAATTGGACTATACTTGTCACGGCTTCTCACCAGAATTCCATCTTAAAGTTAGTCACTAGTGAGCACATGATTGATTGTTGAACTGAGTCACGTTGATCAGTGCAAAATAATTGGTTGTTTTTCACGCGATTATTGTAACTATTGGTTGAAAATATAGAGTGACATGGCTCAGATACATACCCTTTTGTTTTCTTTAAGTTTTGAGTCTTGAATATATCTTGTAGATGTCTATGTCACAAATGCATTAGTTATTTTCACACTATATTTTCCACGTCTAATCTTTACTAATACAACTGATAATGTTACTATTGACATTTGTTATGATAATTAACTTTCACTGTGCTGATATGATGTGGCAGATTCTACGTTGTTTATAATTAATTGACTGAATATGTATTTCTAATTCCTTATATTATTGTATTTATTAAGTTGGAAACTCTAAATATTTTAGATATGATAATCAGAGAAATGATTATCAGTTAACAAATTTATTTAAATGTAAATGTGACGATAATAATTTGCCGAAATCGAACTGTCAACATTCAAATAAAAAACCTTGATGGCATAAATTTTGAAAAGTTTTTAGCCATGCTACTAACAAATGAAAAGTAGTTAAAGTTATTTTGATGGGGTTTTGTTCTCTGAGCTAGATGGTTTGGTCGTGGAGCTTTCATTGTCCTTCTGAACGACATCATCAGCACAAACTTCAAATAGAACGTCGTTAAGTTAAATCGATAAAAGTTTGGAATATGGATGAGCCAATTACAATCAAGAACGTAACGTCCAATTTTTAAAGTGACATTCAAAAACCACTTATGATCTGCTTACCATGCTTGTGAATTAAGGTATATCGAGGCAATACGCACAGTATGCACATATGCCAATTAGAGACTGACCAGTTGCAGTCCTAAACACATCGATGGGAAGATCCGAACAAACAATACTAAGTGAATCCACTTATGATGAGTTTTAAAAATACCTTTTTTTACTGCTGAAAACATTTAAAATGATAATAAAGAGAAGCTATATTCCGCCATAGACTAAAATGATAGTATCAAGCGTATAAGCATTTAATGCTGTGTTAGTGTTATATCTTGTGGCCGAGTGGATGGGTAGTTGATGTGTGACTTGATGAGACTGCCAATTAGGGAGAGCGAATTCTCGATTGGAACAGTGACACGAAACCCTTACGAGCAGCCTAGAGTGCTAACCGGTCCTGCGATCTGCCTAGCCCAGCCAATTAAGTCCAAAACACCAATAACAGCCTCAGTGGTATGAATCATTATTTACAAACATACTGGGTTTTTATACAAACCAAAGTAATCAATAACTGAGTATAACTCAAGAATCGTATGATAATACATCAAAGATCAAAATAAAGCTCATGATAAGAGAAACACAAATATGAATCGTTTAGTTACGTAACAATTGTACAATACGCATAATACATTGGTCGATAAATAGTCCTTGGAGTTACCATTCATAATTCACCAGGGGATATAACACCTCCCCTTTTTTTGAAGCATCATGAATAATAGCGATCCTTGGGATTTATTTTTATACGATTAGGTTTCCGCCTGATGCGCTGCGACCGCCTTGGGAGTGTTGTACACGTCTTCTTTCTATTCGGGTCTTTTTTAATTTCATTATCCGACTCGGTTAATATATTTAATGGTATATCATGCTTTCTATCACTTTCTATCTCCCACTCCTGTCTGTTCGGCTGTATCTGGTTTGCATGTCGTACCCAAATCTTTTGTCCAACTTTCACTTCATAAATAACTTTCCCTTTTCTTCGGACTATGATGTCAAATTTCCAGGTTGGCTTAACTCCCTGATAATCTCTTGCCATTACTGCTTGTCCCACATTAAACCTTCTGGGTAGGGCACCATGCCTTTTGTTAAATTGCAGTTCCATTCGTTTATTCTTGCATTGAATGATTTCAGGTTTTGGCTTCATTTGTTCCATAGGTATTCTAATCTTTCTTCCGAAAATTAATTCTGCCGGGCTTTCTTGATTATTTGTTGCTGGGTTGGGAGTTGCGCGGTAGCTTAGTAAAAATCGTTGAATTATATCCTCTATTTCTCCTTCCCCTTCGGCTTTAAGCAATGCTCTTTTAAAAGTGTCCACGAACCTTTCGACTAACCCGTTAGACTGTGGATGGTATGGGGGTGTCTTGATATGCTTAATGGCATTGGCAATGCAGAACCTCGAAAATTCAGCAGAGGTAAACTGTGGTCCATTGTCTGATACTAATATATCTGGACACCCAAAACAACTGAATACTTGCCTCAGTTTCTTCACCGTAGCTTGTGTTGAGACATATTTCATATAGTGGACTTCTGGCCACTTAGAGAAAGCATCAATGATTATCAAGAACTGTTTACCATTTATAGGACCGGCGAAATCTACATGAACTCTTGACCACGGATTTTACGGTGTTCCCCAACTCTGCATTTCGGTCTTGCGAGGCGCTTTCATGGCTTTTGCACATGCTGAACATTTCGCAACATATTCTTCAATCTGCGTATCAATATTCGGCCAATATACATAACCGCGTGCAAGTGCTTTCATCCGCGCTACCCCTGGATGTGCAGCATGCAGTTCTAACATCACTTTCCGACGTAGGCTTGTGGGTACAATAACTCGATTTCCAAACATTAGGCACCCGTCCACGAGCGATAAAGAATTTCGTCGGTGAGCATACTGTTCAATGTTTTTGTTGTCTATATGAGCAGGCCAACCATGTTCAAGGTAACTTATAATCCGTTTCAGCCCGCCATCTTCTTGAGTGTAGCGTCTAATATCTTCAGCGGATAATGGTGTTGCGTTTATAGCAACTTGTAGTATTTGGTGGATATCTTCTTCCAATGATATCGTTGCAATAATAGAATCTTCGCTTTCCTGCTTCTGATTCGCAATTAATCGAGATAAAACATCAGCTTGTCCAAACTTTTCAGTTGATTTATATAGAATTCGGAAATCATAAGCAAGTAGTGTAATAGCCCAGCGTTGTAATCGATTAGCTGTATATGCAGGAATACCTGACTTCGATCCAAATATAGATAAAAGCGGCTTGTGATCTGTTAGAAGAGTAAATCGACGTCCATAAATCATTTTATGAAATTTTTTTACTGCAAAAACTATAGCTAATCCTTCTTTTTCAATCTGACTATATTTTCGTTCAGCTGGGTTAAGTGTTCGGGATACATGAGCAATCGGCTTTTCTTTACCATCAGGAAAACGATGACTGATAACAGTCCCAATTCCATAGTTGGAAGCATCAGAGGCAACAATTATTTCAAGATTAAGATTGTAATGAGTCAACAATAATTTAGAAGATAAAATCCTTTTTATTTCGTTGAAAGAATATTGGCATTCTTTTGTCCAGTGCCATTTTGCATTAGCCATCAAAAGTTGATTTAACGGGTGTCTCAATTTATACATCTGGGGTACGAACATACTATAATATCCAATCATCCCCAAGAATGAACGGAGAGTTGTAACATCAGTTGGTGTGGGCATATTTTTGATGGCATTTATATTATCTGGATCTGGCCGGCGACCATCTTTATCAAATATATATCCAAGATATTTAACAGAATCCAGCATAAATTGACACTTTTCTTTTTGTAATTGAAAACCGGCTTGCGATATTCTATTGAGCACTACGTCTAACCGACTCATCAGTTCGTGAGCAGAAGAGGCAACAACTATAATATCGTCCAAATAAACTGCCACACCTTCAAGGTTAGACAACATGGTATCCATAATCTGTTGGAAAATTGCTGGAGCTGGTTTTACGCCAAAAGGTAATCGGCTAAACTGGTAAAGTCCACGGTGGGTATTAATGGTTAATAACTCCCTCGAATCTTCGTCAACTTCTACTTGTAAGTAAGCTTCAGATAGATCGAGTTTGGAAAAGTAACGTCCACCGTTTAGTTTAATAAATAAATCTTCTGGCAAGGGAAGTGGATATGAGTGACTTTGTAAAGCATCGTTTAATCCTGTTGAAAAGTCTGCACACAGGCGAATAGTTCCGTTTGCTTTCTGCACTACTACTATTGGTGCTGCCCATGCTGAATAATTAACCGGTTGTATAACACCCAGTTTCTCTAATCGATCTAATTCCTTGTCAACTTTATCGGTGGCTACATACGGGACTTGGCGTTAGTATGTTGCATATGATAGGTATACCGACATTATTTTTTTCGTAACCCCATAGAATTAATCTCAAAACGAACCGTAACTCAGTTGTATTAGATTTTATGGGAGAAGCAGTCAGACGATGCTCCCTACATTTTTGCAGGAGATTCACCTTTAAATACAAAGCATGTTTCAATCATTACACTGAATACTTAGTCCTAAGTAGGAACAGTGTGGGAACCCTTAAAAATGTATCTAAACAGTAGTAAGGGTTAAAGAAGAAGAATAATCTATGTTTCTAAGAACTCATTTCTGCTATTATTTCTTAAAATTGCAGACAGTAGAGAAATTTAAAAGACTCATTGTGTGTAGAATTTGTTGACATCTTATGACGTTATTGTTTTCTTTTCCATAAACTATCCATTTACACCAAGTTTTTCTGACTAGCTAGGAATTGATGGTGGTTATTTTACACTATTCTGTATATTATAACAGATAAAATTCTCTCATTTCTGCTTTTATCTTTTATGCTGCTACAACTTTTTGTACTATTATAGAAAATTATATTGACCTATACTATATTCAGTGGTTCAATTAATTATTTGTATGTAAAGAAACAGCCTGAAACTCATCTATGTCTTAACCATAAAGAATACATGTACTTTGTAGTAGTTTTATATTATTTATAGTAAGCATACAGCTACGGAAATTGTAGATTTACCATAATGCATTCATATAACAAGCTTGTACAAGCCTTATATAAATCAGTAATAAGGCCAAATATTCATGTGAGTAAAAAATGTGTTGATCAGTTATTTTGTATTTATTCATATAATTAATTATGAGCCTTTATCCATGTGCAATTCTCATATACGTGTGTACCTTATCTCACTAAATATTTAGACGATATAAGATGATAAGCAAAGATGGATAGTGGCTAGCAGTGAAATCCAGGACGCAGGTTTCGTATAATTTAGGATTCGTCAGCTGGATGTACCTGCATCTCAGAGTTGATGTTCACTCTGGGACTCGAACACAGTAACTTTAACGTCAAACACCATCGCGTTATGAACTCGGCCACTGAGTCCTGATAGCCATTTGATTATGCAATGGGGTGAAGTTTAAATTCACTTAGTATTGTTTGTTTGAATCTTCCCATCGATGTTTTAGGACTGCAACTGGTCAGCTATATCGAGGCAATACGCACAGTATGCACATATGCCAATTAGAGACTGACCAGTTGCAGTTCTAAAACATCAATGGGAAGATTCAAACAAACAATACTAAGTGGATATAAAATGAGACTATTTCTACGACAATGAATTGCTAAATCAATCTACATACTTCAAAAATGATTATCAAATCAACCCAGAAAACATTTCACTTGACGACCATATAAATCTATATATCATATTGCTACTCAACACACACACATTTCTTACGTCTATTAGGTGATACATATATGGTCTGTGGGTTACAATATATCTATTCAAAAAATGTTTCCTATCAAACGTTTAACATCACGTTATCAAGTAAATTCAACCATTAAAAAAGGATGAATTTCAAAAATATACAAAATTAACTGAGGATTTAGAATATTTGGAATCTTACTTTCAATATATTTCATGTATGAACTCAACACATCATATAGATATGCCTTTTCTTAATTAGAAACATAGTGGAACATAAAAATTTGCACTTATCACAAGAAGTATATATCATATAGTTGAAGGATATTCAACGTTGTAAAGTATAAAAGTGAAATAAATAAATAATACTGTCAAGATCTTTTTATTCACTTCAAAAGATAACAAACTGAAGAATTAATTCGTCAACAGAATCATGATATGAAAGTATTATTTAAAGAATGAAAATGCAACAAACAAGGGTAGTTTTTTTTGTCACAGTACGAAAATAAAACAAACCAATGGTAATAATTAAACCGTATTACTATAAGTAGTATATGTTTAATTATTAATCAAAATACTAATGACATAATCATTATTAATTATAAACAATGAGAGGAAAAAATAACAAAGCAGAGAAGTGCAACAACAAATACGAGATCTTATGTTTATATTGATGAAAAGTAAGTAATTAGGGTAAATAAAAAACAACAACAACTAATAATAATAATAATAAACAGGATTAATACAATACGAATTATTGAATTCATGTTTGAATAAGATAACATAGAGGGAGAGAGAGGGTGGAGACAGAAATTTACAAAATGTGGGAAGAATTATTTTGGATGTGGCGCATGAAAAAAATATAGAAAAGAAACGGAATACGAAAAGTAAATGGTAAAGAAAGAAACGTACCTAAGATTGATAATGGAAGAAAATGTAACTCGAACAAACAAATATAATTAATCAATGGTTGTCGCATTATTATCATTTATTCAGTGGTGGTAATTGAATTTCATGAGTCTTGACAAATGAAGGCAGATTACTTTAACTACTTACAAGTAGGCAAAAGTATTAAGTAAAAATATTTAGGAAGAGATGATAAATCGTATGCCTGTGTATGCATAACAAAACAAACACTACATGAACCATTCGTCAGAAAGTGAACGATATAAACGACAACCACAACAAACAATGGACAGCGAGAAAGGATCAAATGCCAGTCAATAAATCATGATAAGAATTATCTCTCTACGCACACATACACAAAGAGGGGGGGGGTGATTAAGTTCCACTTTGCATGGAGATTGATATGAGAATCATTACAATACAAAGAATCAGTAGAGAAACATAATGACGCAAAGTCATCACAAATAGAAATCTTCATCATAGTAAGTAAAAATAAAGTTGAAAGAAAAAAATACAACCCAAAACAGATAACTGAAAATAAAGTTAACGAAGAGAGATATGGCTTTGAGAGGAGGTATCAAGTAGTAAGTACTATAGGCAGTAAATAATAAAACAAACAAACATACACATACATAAATACATGAAATTATCATTATAGTCAATGAGGTAAATGCGTAAAACCATAATCAGAAACTACAAGGTTATATGATGACGCCAACATTGAATGACGTCTAGGCAGAACCGGTCTAGGTATGATATATTTATCAATGGAATAAGAAGGAGGTGTGAACAATGTTCGACATGTTAATGTAGATGATTTTTGATGCTTTTTTAAACGTTTTCTTGATTCATGTTGCATACGTATTTTAGTAGGAAATAAACTAATTGAATTAATTGCAGTAGTAGTAGTGGTAGAATTCACGAATAATTGTTGTTCTCGTTCATGTTCCTGTTCTTCAGTTAAATTAATCTTGACCACATTATGATTAGCATTCTGTTCATAATGTCCGCCTACAGTTTGGTCAACATTTTGTTGTTGTTCAATTGTTGAACAATTATTATTCTTGTCATTATTATTATTACGGTCTTTTGAATTCAAGGTTTCCGAGTCTAATTGAGTTGTAGTAGTAGTCGTTGTTTTTCGAAAATGTGACGTGTTATTATTACTGTCATTATGATTGCCGACTGATATTAAAGTTTTTGAATGATATGGACGCTAGATTATATATAAGAAAGAAAATAATGTTAGTAAAACCATGGAATGAAAATTGAATATTTCTATTAATAATAATAAAAAAACAATGCTTGTGAATTAAGGCTATATCAAAACAATACGCACAGTATGTACATATGCCAATTAGAGAATGACCAGTTGCAGTCCTAAAAACCTCAATGGGAAGATTCAAACAAACAATACTGAATGAATTTTAAAAAACAAGATAGTTTAGAATAATGGATTTGTTTTCATGATCATCTCATTGACTGAAACTCTAGTAATCATGGGGAGAAATAACTAATATACATGATCGGATCTAATATGATCAGATATGCCGTATGTTATAGTCCACAAAGATACTTCAACAGTCAGTCACAACGTAGAACTTCGTACGTATATACATCAGTTCGAGTTGCCATACCACATTAGCACAGAGATGAAGTTGTCGATTCAAATCCCATAGTGGTAGAAGTAGTAAGAGTATAAGCATTATGTGAAAGATTAGGGTTTGAAGATGTTATTCAAGGAGTATATTCCAGTGAAATAAATTTGGAAAGAGAAAAAGGATAGGGATATGAAGAATTCAGAAGATTAGAATTTGGGAGAACACAAAGAGTGTATGCACCTTCGCCATTGCAAACGATTTTGAGCCATGTCATTCAAGGTTTCTAACCATCGATTGCTATCATCTCGCGGGTCCCAACCAGGTAGTCTACACCTACCAACATGGTTCAGTTCACTTGTCAGTGACTTCTTGGATTTGTGCCACGTTTTGGTTTGGCCGCCCCTAGCTTTCTTCCAACCTACTCTTACACCATGAAGCATTGCACGTCGGGGCAGTCGGTGGTTGGGTATACGTAACACGTGTCCCAGCCATCTCGTGTTACTTCAACAATTGTAATCCATTTGAATAATTTTATCAAAACATTTAAAGATGATTGTAATTCTATAAGAAACTACAAGAAATTTTGCAGAGATAAAGTTCTCGTGAATGAAAAGGGTATTTCGAATGACAGCTCAAGCAGATATAAGAAAAAATGTACTGCAACAAATTGCAGGGGTGTGTGTGTTTTATGGATGATAAAATTGATGCATATATAGTTTTGTGGAATAAAGCTTTATAACTTTAGCTCATACATTTATTGGAAAGATAACGTCAGCAAAATTTATTTATTTAAACACGTAAACATTGGTACAAAGAACCGCTAAATAGATATGCGCCATATAAATCATTCGATTTTTGTGAGGGCTGGGATACTGCCCGTGTGCCCAAACTGAAACAGGTGGTTTTCTTGGGGGGGGGCTACATCCCGAACCTTTGACCTAGAGGTCTAATCCACAAGGAAGTGGAGCAACATAAGGAGATGCAGTCCCATGGTAACCAGTGACCAACAATAGGTTCATACGCCATTTACTCCCTCAGGATCCTGAAGCCCATAAGTACTATTGATTTGGAATCAGGGTTTTCCATCTCCCTTAGGTGAATCCTCCGTATCCACCAAGCCGGTTAGAACGTCGAACATTCGCTATTCGTCCTCTCAATTTCGTAGACAACAACTCGGCTGAGAGAAGGCAGTGAGTACGACTTCCCTGGCAATGGTTGTATGTACATGGTCATGTGAGAGCATTTCGAGAGGGCTGGCTCTCCACACTCTCGGTCGTACCAGGGCATTTGGGGGTCCCATTGGGTATGCTAATGCAAAGTATAATGAATACAGATTGTGTAACATATACTTTTTTCAGTGGTACTGTTAACTAGCATACATAAGTTTCATAGATTTCGAAATTAATAAACCGAATATATATTCCTAATAACTTGATATACAATTAAGTAATATTGAATAGTTGCTTCATTCTTCCGTATGACTAACACAGGCATAATTATCTCGTTACATAAAGAACAAAAGGGTCTTAACCTTAGCGATAAACATGTGTGAACATCCTGTGAACGGTTATTGAACTCAGTTTGGAAATATTAGCATAGAGTACTGATATTCTAGATATGCGACGATTTATATAAGCGAATCGATACTACACCATAATCATCAATACTTCTATACACCGATACGAGAAAACTCAACATACTAGTACTATGAACATTATGCATTGCTAGTGTTAATATTAAAAAAAAAATAATAAGTGTGTTGTTAACGGTGACCTTAAAAACTAGTCAACAGAATCGAAACTATTCTAATTAAAGACAAAATGTGAAGTAATGCGTATTTTAAAGTGGGATATTAAACAAACAAATGTTCATATCGATATTTTGAAAAGTCAAGGAAGCTTTTCAACATTATAAAATTGTAAGTTTTCTATTAGATGAAAATTATAAATAATGATTCTCGTAATAAATGAAATGGTGCATACATATATACCGTCAACCAATAGGATATTTAGCAATCCATGTACTCGGTGTTCAGTTGCAACTTTATGTATGAGGCCCAGTAATACTATCTGATCACTCCAAACTAAAGTAGATGGAGCGACGACTCGAACCTGCGATCTAATGATTAGAAGTAGTATGCCTTAACTATTAACTACCACTCCACCATTCTGCAGTTAAGTTAAAATGACTGAAACACATGGAACAGTTGACTTCATACCAGTGTATATCTAAACATATCCAGTTCAAGTTGGGATCACAGTATGAGACAGTGAATAATCACATAAGGAAAATTCCTGTTAATACAAAAGATGTTGAATGGCTGAAAAACTTACTATTAAGAACAAAAAGGGATGATATTGGTCGATTAAATTTAGTGTTATGATTAACTTATATACTTCGATAATGTAATAAGAAGACGAAGATTATCAGAACTAGTTCTGATAATCTTCGTCTTCTTATTACATTATCGAAATTTATCAAAGGGACTAATTGCTTTAAATAACTTATATACCACTAGACTAATATGTACAATAATTCGACGAGTTTGGAGCTTTTTTATGTAGAATTCGGGGTCGCTCAAATAGTAAGGCTCTATTCAAAATCTGTGAATAAAAAGTTAATAACTGTTTCTCAAAGTTCTTATTACAGCATTTTGTTTTAAAAGTAAATCGGAAAACCTGTGATATTATGAAATAAGCTGAGTAAAATCAACGTTATTATCTATATTGTTTTATTTTAAAGCATTAAATCACTGTAATTATTAACTCGATGAAATTGTTCATTTTATTACTGCTTCAATTAAAATAAACTGAGACTGTTCATATAGATGTAAGGTGCTTAAAGGTAATCAGTAGGAAAGCCCGGATTGATGTTTCGTACTAATTCGGATCCATTAGCAAGATATACTTGTAGTCTTAAGATAACTGGTAGTTCTCATAGGATTTAATCGCTTGTTACCAAGTTTCATAATTTAAGACGTTACCACTGGAGTGTTTAGAGTGCGACTAATCCCTTGAACGACTGAAATAGTTTTATACCTATTACATCCAACCACCAAATAACAAAGCATAGTAAGTGTGATATTGGGTTACTTAGTTATGCGGTTTAATCGATAGAAACAATGAACAAATAAAGATTAGAAAGAGAAGATATTGGTTACTACACAGTAATAAATGATATGCACCATTCATATTCTACTCCTACATCTGATTAGACAGTTTCTAGAAAAAACGAAACAAACATCTCTAATTAAAATGATAACAATCCATATTATGGAGTGATAAACTGGGGAAATCAGGCATAGCTCAAACGTTACGTGGGAAATACTGATGAGCGCACGCTATTCGTCAAGATTTGGCTTAGCTTTCGGTGGAAACAATATAGTAAACGGAATATACTAATTCAGACATGAAGAAATAATACAAATTGGTTTAGAGGAGAGTTTACTTTTGGGTGAGTTCATTCCCAAAGTTTACAAATATTCAAGATCTTTTAGTGGCCCTAAATCTGACTCCAATTGGATCGTATGAATGTTATTAAAATATACATATCGTCAATCTTCGTATATAATAATCGACTTAAATCGCGTTAGCGAATAACGGAATTAAATAAGTCAAATATGAAAATGTTTGAATACATATATTTTGTACACTCATTGATCTGGACAGACAATCAGAGGGACGAAGCGAAGCGATATGGAGCGCAGTGGAGAAGGCGTATGAACCAACTAGATTTAACCAGGCGTTAATCAATATTTATGGCCAGATAAAAATAAGTTTACAGACATGTGGTGAATAGGATAAGAAGTGTACACACATACGCTAATATAAAAATAGTCAGGGCTGATAATTGAATAATTAACAAGGTCAAAACGTGACTCAAGAAGAATGAATAAACTGGCTTGTCCAGAAGCTAGAGTAAGTTGTGTGGACTTTACATAGTAACCGAGATTATAGTCTTAATAACCACATTTTGAGTTTCTTAATAGGAATAATATTTTTGTGCGTTTGTTTATTTTACCTCTCTGTTACCATGTTTAGAATAATAATAATGACATTATTATTGACAGTAGATAAAGTGTTGATTATCGCTATGAGAAATAAGTACACATTTGATATTTTACAGCCTTGAAAATGAAGTCGTCGGTAAAAACTCTCCATTGAAAGTTACTGGTTGAAATCGTCGATTAATTTTTTGAAGGAGATAATATATGTTTATGAATGAGTTGTGCATATATTTTCGACTTGGGTTAGCTAACAAAAGCTTCCTACTAGTGACTCAGGGTTTTCCCATTCAAGCAGCTGGTTCGGTTAACATATAAGAAGACATATATATATATATATATATATATATATATATATATATATATAGAGAGAGAGAGAGAGAGAGAGAGAGAGCGCACAAATCGACAATTGCCAAGCACAAGATATGCTACTTTTGCTTACGATTACTTCGAGATTACTGGACCACTTAATCTCGATAAATACCTCTATCCAACTGGGGCAGTAGCATACAGTAAATATGATAACACAAAAATCATAGATAGCTCAATCAAAGGAAGTTGATATAATAATTAATCAATCAAAATCTCTTTAACAGATTTCTTTTCATAATATGAAAAGACCAATAGAAAGAGCCTATCACGACATACAAATCAAATATACGAAGGATATTTCATCTATAAATTGAAAGGAAATAAAAACAAGATTGAATTCAATTCTTAATAACATGATATACGTTCCGACAATAGAGATTGCAAACCACATGTATATAGACATAGTCATATTGTTTATGTACGACAATAATACCCTAGCATACATCATTGTTCAGAGAAAGTTAAACAGAGGAGAGGAATAATAAATCAAAGACTCAATAACAGTGAATTGGTTCTTAATGTAAAGAGCTTGTGAAAATTGTTGAATTTTATGGCTTATATCATGAATTAATCATAATTAAACAACCACTAAAAACTAGGAAGGACTGGACAGCTATTTCTTCCTGGCACAGAAATACTTATTTAAGACCCTACCGAAGGAACAACTCAGAACCTTCAAGATTCGTGCTCATTAGTGATTAATTTCGACAGGTAAATGCCGGATTATTAATGAGAAACCGTTATCAGTGGAGTTCAACTATATAGAGTGTAAAGCAGTTACTCACTAATGGCATTGAAAAATGGTTGTGGGACAAGCAAATTACTCGAAGTTAGAAATATAAACCATTGGGTCCTCACTAAGTGATCTAATGGTTAGGTGCTAGTGGAAAGATCTAAACGTCCTAAGTTGAGTATCCGGTGGAGTCGTAGGTACTCAGTGATGGAGGGTGACATACTAGGACAATAAAACTGTCTAGTGCTTTCTAACTTTAAATGGTTATCTAACCAAAGTCAATTCATGATGTTAACTTTGAGACATGATAATTAAAAACATTTTAAACGTAGAACACAGAAAAAGAATACTCCTAAAATTTACCTTCAATGAATTAGGTGAAATAACTTGAATACTGTTCATACTATGTTTCCAACAATCAGATGATGATTTTATAACATTATTATTACACGATGCTGCATTATAAGCGGATAGTGGAGGTGATTCAGAAGCATTACGTCTACGTTTACCGGAACAACATGATTGATGTTTTTTTATAGTACTTGTTGTAATTGCTGAGAAAGTAGTTTGAGATGATGCTTGTGAACTAAGAATCGACGAATCAACTGTTGATGATGATGATGGCAAATTTGATTTATTACTTTTATTATTATGATTAGTAGAAGTAGTAGTATGTGTTGCAGAAATTGACGCTTTTAAACGACGTTCAACATCTGGTAGGATTAATGCAGCAGTCAAATCAGAGATAACACGATGTGGACAATTGAAATGACGTTGATTAAAATCGTTCACTAAATTAATATTATTATAATTAGAATTGGATAGTTTTTCATTAGCAATTGCAGATGACCATGTGTGATGAATAATATTTGATGGAATCCAACTACTATTACTTCCATTACTATTAGAATCATCTGATAATAATAAATTTGAACTACTCACATTTCTTTTATGAAGATTTTCCAATGAATTCAATCGTGAAATAGAATCAGTCACATTGAAATCAATCCAATCATCAATGGAATCACTTATACTGGATGTATCACATGGATTATAATTAACATTATAATCTTCATTGTTCTCTACACATTTTATTGGCATGTAATTATCGTTAATATGATCATTATTATTATTAGTATTATCAACAATTGAACAAGGCGACTCTGTGTTACATTCGTAAGGAGCTGATAAAACTGAATTGACTGCGCGACTACTTCTACTATTATTATTAATACTCGTAACAGGATCACCCCATAGACTTGCTCTATCTTCTTTAAGTAATTCAATCAATATATCATCAGGTATTAAGTCAAGGGCTGACAATAAATTCCGATTATCTGTCAAATCCACATGATCTGGTTAAATAATAAAATTAATAATAATAATGATATAGAGTAAATACATCTGTGCCACCGTGATTGATTTTGAGCTAAGTCATCAGAAATATCCAACCACCGATTGGGGTTATCACGCACACCCCAACCAGGTAACCTGTATTTACCGACATAGCTAAGGCCATAGTTGGTTTGGCTGTTTTTAGATTTCTTTTAAATTAATTTCACAATACGCAAAATCGCTTGTTAAGGTAAGCAATTAGACACACATAACACGTATCCTAACAATCTCAATCGATAGTGGTTCACTACAGTATTAACCAATTTGCTGTCTTTACCCAGTAACCCGCATCTAACCTCAACATTACTTATACAGTTGCCCCATGATAAAAAGGTGACGCTTCGAAAATATCTATGATTAAAAACTTGAGGCCTATGCGTATTTCCAACTTTCGGGGGCCATGGTTAACATCCTAATTGTACTATAGAGTGAACTACTCTGTAGTATGCTCATTCTCTTATTGGTAGATGTATATTTTGCCTACACCACAGGTGAAGTAATTTATTAAGTACCAAATAAACTTTCTGAATCCGTGTCGAGATTTCGGTAAATACCAACCCACCAGGACTGGTAAGACTTTTAAACTAAGTGAAGTAGTCAATATGCTAAACTACTTTAAAGTCTGTTATTAGTTTAGGCGTTTACACAGACCGGATCCTAAAGCAAATAACTTTTGCTTACTATTTGATGACAAAAAATATTGAAAGACTAAACGTTAGTAACAAAATTCAGTTAGTTAAGGATCATATACTCGAATGTCAAATTCAATAATTAAAAGCCTAGTATATCCATAAGTCACTACTCCACTAAAAATTTATGAATATAACGTTGATACAATTCTATACGTGATAAAGAAGATGAGAGAACATTGAATATAACTAATGAAAATAAGGAAATCACAAATAGGGAGGAGTACTTTTAAATTTAATTAAATTTAGTGAACTCGCTCATCAGGTACGTCGGTTATAAGTCACACTCTAATCATGAAAGGTAATGACACTACCCGGTTGCCCAAACTGAAGTGGATAGAGTGGGGTTCGAACCCAGACCTTAGTCGAACTCTATGAGTATCAAGTCACTGCTGTGCCCTTCTAAATTACAATCATACTATCATCTTAATAAGTGAACAATTTTTACTAGTATCGATATTTTACTCAAAGAATAGAAATCATTTTCGCATAATTACTATAAGGTTAGAGAAAATACAAAACGATTTCGGTTAGCTTGCGTTTGATGCAACAAAAGAAAGATTTAAAACAAGATGAACACATATATGAGCTTTCGTCTAATTTAGAGCGAATATTAGAAAACAAGACAATTATGTGTTTCTAGTACGGGAATCTTCAAGAGTGTGACCCTATCAGGGATTGAACCCAAGACTTTTAAGACTCGTGGTATGCCATTTATTTATCCAATCACTGAGTTGATGTCCAATGGTTTATATTTCTAACTTCAGTCAACTCACGAACCCTGATGGGCTTGCGTGTTCTGATACTGATTAGGAGACGCATATTAAAATGAAACAGCTGTCTAGTGTTTTTTTGTTTTTCAATGGTTGTCTTATCAAAGTTAATCTATGATGTGGAATTTTAAGTTTGACAATTTTCACAACATCCTTACAATTACAGAAAATTTGTTCTCGTTAAGGTAGATGCCCCGATTGAACAGAATAAAAAAATAGGAAATTATTATACAAAACATTTACATGTCTAGGATAAACTAGTACAACCAGCAACAACAACAAAAACCATTAGACAATAACAAGCATCTAAAATTCAATAATAATAATAATAACTAGACTAGCAATATACAGACGTTTTTTTTACAATGAAGAATTCCATTTATACAGTTAAATCTGCCTAGGATATTATATGTATGAGAAAGTCCACATATTCTTCCAATCATAATTTATGTAAATAAATCAATTCACATGGGAAATAGACAGAAAAAATGTTAGTGCTAATATTGAATTCCAATAATATATATTAATGAACATGAACAAGGTAATTAGAATGATTATGATTTCACACATTTGAAAACCAGCATACATATAGATTATTTATAGCAAATGTAAATGGTGAAATTATCAGTTTTGAAATTATTTATTTATTTAAACACATAAATATTGGTACAAGGAAGCACCATATAAATATGCGCCTCACAAATCTCATTCGATTTGTGTGAGGGTTGTGATACTGCCCGGGTGCCCAAACTGAAGCAGGTGATTTTCTTAGGGGGCCACACCCGGAGCCTTTGACCTAAACGTCTAACCCACAAGACAGTGTGGCATCGTAAGGAGATACAATCCCATGGTAGCCGGTGACCAACAGTTGGTTCATACGCCATTCGTTCCTTCAGGATACTGGAGCCCATGTGCACCATTGTTTTGGAATGAGGGTTTTCCAACTCCCCTATGTGGATCCTCCATATCCACCAACCCGGTTAAAGCGCCGGACATTCGCTTTTCGTCCTCTCACTTTTGTGAACAACACCCCCGCCACGAGAAGGTAGTGAGTAGGACTTCCCTGGCAGAGGCTATATATTCGCGTGGCCATGTGAGAGCATTTGGAGAGGGAGAGCAGACTCTCCCCACTCTCGGCCGTACCAGGGCATTTGTTTTGAAATGAAAACATACTTTGTTAAATTCCATGACTAACTCATCATTCATGTGATGAATTTAGAATAAAAGTGAATATACTTGAGAGTACTATTGCAGTGAACAAATTCTTGGCGAGTAAAACCAATTTATTGCTTAATGTGAAACTACAAAATGCCTTCGTAAAATATGAAAACTATACATTAAATACATTATTTGCGAATCTTTCTTCAGCTATCTTTTATATGCTTCATGATTTGTTCAATTCTGTTGTTATTACAGTTGTTCTTTGTTTCCCTTCCTGTTCTCTTCAGTTGAATATTCTCAATCTTCTGCTGGCAGGCATTACACTTTCGATTGGTACTACATACTACTTATATCTGTTAACAAGAGTAGCACCCACCAGACTGTTAGAGGAATAATCCTTTAAACACTAGTTTTCATTTAACGCAGTCAGTCATAAGTGACATGTATAAAAATATAAACTAACCCTATATCCCAACAGTGAACCTTAATTATGACTCAAAGCTCTAAAACTTACGACTTCATCACCAGTTAAGAAGAGTTCCTGAATTATGTAGAAACAATATATTTTTGTAAAACCTATGACTTTTTGCATTACATTCATACCTAACTATCTAAGACTTCTTAACTTCCGATGATAACCTAACAAACATATTAGTCCATAATAAAAACAAATACTTATCAAGTAAACTATTGAAAACACATTGAACAAATTTGTTTCCTCTTCAAATTCAATTTGCAATCTCTAGTTGGATTTTCGATCACTATAGAAACCATTTAGCAAAAGGACAAAAACGCGTCTATATGGAAATAAATTCATGTGACATCTTGCTTTTCATAAAAAGCAGTAGATTTCCTTTGGCTAGTACAAGTTTAATGAAAGAGTGATACTGATAAGTACTCAATACACACATGTCCGTTGACTAGAAATAAGGTTACATTACTTAACCATAGGAAAGTTCCCAAACATCCAGTTTTCAAATAGTAAGTCGTAGATTTCACACTTTGCTCACACTTTTCCTACATAAAACAAAACCTAGCATACATGCGCACCAGTTTCAGTTGTTACATGACGTCAGTACAGCAAGATGCCAGATTAATGAAAGTAGTATTATCCCTCCCACCTTTGTGAAAATACACTCGTTTTATCTTTGTCTCTATTGTTCAAAAAACTTTTTGAAGTGCTCAGAAGTCAGATTTTTAGCTGCCTTATAGCCAAACAGTTTTCTCAATACACATGTATTGTGGGAATCGTTTAAACATATAATCTTCCATATTTAATTTATAAGTAATCATTTAGACAATAAATCAACAATCAGAAAGCTACCGGAACTGGAAACGTCCAATATTTTCATTAACGATTGTTCTATCGCCACATCATTCGTGCAGTTATTATCACAGTCCTATTTAAACTTATGACCCATTTAGAGAAGCTGTTTTCTCCAATGCGTCACCTCCATAAATAACTCTCACGGTTTCACAAATTTAATAATGGTTTTTACTAAGTTTCACTAAAAACTTCTATAGCTCATTCATTTAGCATATATATATATATACGCACCCTATATCTGCAGTATATACATGATGGAATGGAAAACTGCAAAATTGACAAAGAATCTAGTCATGCGGAGTGGGAGCCTTTATAGTAATACTAATAAAGTGGATTCACACTAATAATTTTGAAGTATACTATTGAAACAGGAAACACAAATTAGTTGGGGTCATCAATCAAAATATTTAATCACTAAACATAAAATCTAAGTTGAAAAGTACGATTGAACATAAAAAATACAAAATCTAGCCTTTAAAAATAGCTGATGGGAGTAGGTAACTGGAATTTGACAGCAGATCCCTTCAAAGCATTAGGTGTGTACATTGAGACCATTGGTGGAACAACCTTTATGTTAGATATAAATTAGTAGGTAAATATGGCAAATCGGTTGGTGACTTGGTAAATTATGATCGATTGAAGTGGTTGAAATATGTATTATGTACGGCCCACCATCGTCTAGCTCGAAGCGCAATGTTTCACCGGTGTATATTTTGTGCCTAATGCTTTGCCACATTTAATATTACCGCCACTTCTATTACTCCGGCATCTCGCTGTGGTAATGTCAGTCAGTCAGCTACAACGTAGGACCAGGCACACATATGCATCGGTCCAAGTTACCACATCTCGTTAGCACAGCAAGATGAACACTGACCGTTGCTGCTACCTTGACGTGGTGGTCGGGCTTGCCAATCGTAATGAACCAATCGAGCTACACTGGCTGGAACAATCGTTCCTCAAGGTCCTACCATGCCAGACAGGTCGGTTGAAGAGCGGTAAGACTAGAAGCAGCAAACCCAAGGTCCGAAGGCGAAGTCGTACTGCTGACTGTACAGAGGTGTGACAGCGGAAAGGTGTTTCCTTCAGACAACCAGCATGATAGCGATGCTGCTTTCCCACAATGAGGAGTGGGGTTAGAAAAAGTCGACCCTAAAAATGCACACCTCGCCCTATCCCATGGATATTCGTCTCCGGCCGTAAGGTCCTTTAAAGAACGGAGCTAACACAAAAAATACACACAAAAAGGTCGTGTGTGACCGGCCTCAAGCAGTTGTCCCTTGAGCACTGCGATCACGCTCTCAGGTCATTAAGACCACTTCTAACCCAATTTCATTTTCAGGTACCTCTAGAAAAACCCTTCCACGATGTGGGAAGTGATAACTGCACTCATACATCCAACAGCACTCAAGACCACTGTATTCATAATCAATCATGTAGTGTGACAACCTGTCCTAGGTCACATATGTGCTAGGTTTTACATTACTTATGGTAGATTGCCTAGTACCAATCGGTTGTATAAATAGAAGTAGGTGGAACAGGGTTCGAGGCAAGGACTTTACGGTAGAAATTAAAATGGATTAACCAGTCGCCCAATTGATATATCCCGAAGAGAATTATGAATGATAACTTTTGAGAACTATTTACGGACCAATATGATACGTATGTTTCCTATTGTATAATTGTTAAGTAACTCAACTATTCATATTCATGTTTCTTTAGTAATGAGCTTTATTTTGACCCATAGACTATTACTGTACGATTTACCATTCCTGAGTTATGTCCAGTCTATTAATTACTGTCCCCTTTATTCACAGCCACATATAGCTGAGTCTGCCCCCAAATGCCCTGGTCAGGCCGAGAGTCGGGAGAGTCAGCTCTCCCTCTCCAAATGCTCTCACATGGCCACGCGAATATATAGCCTCTGCCAGGGAAGTCCTACTCACTACCTTCTCGTGGCGGGGGTGTTGTTCACAAAAGTGAGAGGACGAAAAGCGAATGTCCGGCGCTTTAACCGGGTTGGTGGATATGGAGGATCCACATAGGGGAGTTGGAAAACCCTCATTCCAAAACAATGGTGCACATGGGCTCCAGTATCCTGAAGGAACGAATGGCGTATGAACCAACTGTTGGTCACCGGCTACCATGGGATTGTATCTCCTTACGATGCCACACTGTCTTGTGGGTTAGACGTTTAGGTCAAAGGCTCCGGGTGTGGCCCCCTAAGAAAATCACCTGCTTCAGTTTGGGCACCCGGGCAGTATCACAACCCTCACACAAATCGAATGACATTTGTGAGGCGCATATTTATATGGTGCTTCCTTGTACCAATATTTATGTGTTTAAATAAATAAAATAAAATAGCTGAGTCTTGTAAAAGTGTTATTTTCTATTTTATTGGTACAATTTGGTTTGTCTGTTTGGTACATAAACCCAGTATGTTTGAAATATAATGATTCATACCACAGAGGCAGTTATTAGTGTTCTGGATTTAACTGGCTGGACTATGCAGATAGCGGGACCGACAAATACTCTAGACTGCTCGTACGGGTTTCGTGTGTCATTGGTCCGATCGATAAATCATTGCTTTGTAATTGGCGGCATCGTTACGTCATATATTAACTGGGCACGCAGGCGAGCAACAAGATATAACATCCATAAATACGCAATGGTCACATTTTAACAAACCAGTAGAATATATAAATCCATAAGCGCTAAATGAAGTCTATTAGTGAATGAAAAACAATATGAAGGCTTAATTAAATACTGAGACGAAAAAATACATTGAATTTAACTCTTAAGATAAACAAAGATATCAGCTGATTAACAATACTTTAACGTAAAAATAATGTACAAAAATGCATATAATTGACATAAAGGAAACTTGTAAAGAGAATAAATAAAACGGTTTACCTGTTTCAGTAGTCCCAAGATTGGCAAAACCATTTGAAACATCATTCACGTTATCGTCAGAATCAGATTTAAGAGCTTCCGATAATGTAGTTATTGAACCATCATCATTGGGGAACAGTGAACTTGGGAACACAGAGAAATGCTGTTGTCTTTGATGATGTTGGTGAGAACAATAATGATTGAAACTGTTTAGATCTGACGACATAGAGACAATGGACGCAGATTGTTGATGATGGTTTAGTAACGTAGATTCAGAGGAGTTGTCGAACGATGAGGTATGATTAGGAATCAAATCTACTGCCGTTGGTGCTGCCGCCGCAGCTGTCACTAGTGTTGCCTCTGAATGAATATTATTTGAATTGGGTGATTTTTCATAAGTGCCTGAAAGACCATCCCCTCCAACTGCTAAATTAGGTTGAATATTAATTAGTGATACATGATAATTGTCACATGCTGACGACTGGGACAATGTATTAGTAGTGTAATCTGTTAAACAGTGAGTTGTTTGTCCATAAGAAAGGTTTGATGATAATGAATGTGGTGATGTGTCAACACAATTGTCTATTAATGACTGTACAATAGGTGTTGATGTTACAACCACTGGTGTTGATGTTACTGTTGTCATAGCTGTGTGTGATAATATTTTTGTTCCGATAGTTGTTGTTAAAGAGGATGGATTGAATAGTTCAGTCAAATCACCTGGAAGATGACCATGGAGATGCCCAGTGAAATGAGCTTGAAATGATGCTTCATCAGAACAAATAATTTGACAATCTTTAAGTGGGCAAGCAAAAATTAACCGCACTAGCTGATGTTGAACTTGAAAAATAAAAATAATCATAAAAATAGTATGAATCACTCATTGAAACAATATTACTGGTTGTAGGTATCATTACCAAGTTTTGATTTGATAATTTTGAATAAATTGAGCACTGGGTGGATTGTTATAAATAAATAATATATTTGTCATATCCCAATGAGTAGAAAATCTAATTTTTCTACTCATTGGGATATTACAAATATATTAATTTATTAATATTACTGGTTGTTTACAATCTGTTCATTAAGACAAAGACTTCAATATAGGCTTTGTGTTGATGTTTAGCTCAGATAATAACTGACTAAATAAACTCACATATATGTGTTAGTGTTCAAGGATTACCCTATAATTATGTTTCAAACTAACAATACTAGGTACTTACAGAGGCATGTGAATTAATCGATCCACTAGATTAATACGACCAACACACGAACATATAATCTGGATTGGTGGAAGAACTTCTTATACTACTAGCAATAAGTGAAACTGAATCGAATTCCTCAAATCTCTCTCAGGGTACACATAATTACATTCCACATCACTATTTAACCTTAGTAAGATAAAAATTGAAAGTCAGAGTAGACTGAGCTGTAATTGTGTCCTAATGAGGGACTCCTTAGCAATGCGCATTTATAGACCTCATTTATTCCTTGCAGTAATAACAATCATGTGCCTACTAGTGACTGATTTCTAAGGGGTAATTCCTAGTTTTAGTGAAAGGCCATTACCAGTACGGTTCAACCATACCGATAGTGACATAATTAACCAATAACATCAGAGGAAGATTTTCGTGTAATGTTGCGAGCTGATTGAATTGAGAAATGTAAACCGATGGATGCCAACTCAGCGTTCTACAGGTTATGAACTAGCTGTGGGACCTGAAGTTCCTATGTTCGACATCCGATGGAACCATAGGTGAGTATTGCTGAGGAACCTTCTATCAGGATAAAACAGTTGTCATGTTGTGACAGAGCTAAAGCACTTTTATTTAATTATCCACAAGACAGTCAAATTAATTAAAGATTTGTAATTTTCCATTGTTGATATTCCTGAATGTGAAAGTATCGGGTTCGAGTCCCAGAGAGGACATCAACCCTGGGATGTACCAGGTACATCGGGTTGATGAACCCCAAATAAGGTGAGACCAGCCTCTCCTAGACATAACTATCCAACATTAAAACACCATTAACTTTATTGCATAAAGTACAAAATTTAGCACCAAATATACACTGACTTCAAATACATCATCAAGGTATAGCATTTATACACTGGTAGTAAACAAACAAACTGAAAAAACTATAATAACAAAAATCCAGAAAAATTTCGTATTACTCACTTTCCGGAAAGTGAATACTTGTTAGGTGAGCAGATAAATCAGCTCTACCTGAACACAAATAGGTGCAATTATCAACTGGACAATAGACACAATCGGTTTTTGAACAACTTAATGCATGCACACCACTTATCCATTCACGTCGTTTAGTTTTACATAAATTCCAATCAACAATATGTCCACAACTTGGACATTTATTACTTAAATTATTATTACTATCATCATTATTCATATTTAATACTTGTCGAGGATCATGACCAGTACTTAATGTACGTCGTCGACCGTTATCTATTTTGCAAACTTTTTGTTTATTCACCGTAGTTATATAAGATGTTGATAGATTCGATAGTGCTGATAATTGATGTTTACATTGAACTGTTATGTTAGATGGATTGATTGAATTCATTGTACTTTTAATAATCGGTAAATCATTATGATTACCTCCGCTGACTGATCGTAATCTAGGCTGTTTTCTGATTGGTTGTTTCACTAATACTGGAAGTTTTGTTTCATCTGTTAATGAATGTATGGTAACATTATTTGAATTGGTACTGTCCATATCTACGGAAATCGGGAAATTATTGGAACGTATGTCTGTGTTTAGATCTATTAGGAAATTAAAGAATATAAGTTTACTTTATACATCAAAGTTAAAACGAATACTATTATTATTGTTAAACTATTACTAGTTTGCCCAAACAGAAGTAGTTGGAGAGAAATTTGAAGCCATGAATTAATGGATGAAAGTCAAACACTTTAACCACCAAGTATTTGCGGTTAGGTCGTCCTAATACGTCTTACGACCTGATAAAATTCTCCGAACTTATGAATCTTTTATTTCTGTCGCAGTTGTAGATATTTTTGTCCAATTAGTTTATGAATATTTTAATGTGCTAAGAACTGTCTTGTTTTAAAGATCATCAGAAATTGTTTACTCAAGTAAGATTTATTGGTAAGTCAAATAAAATTTTTCCTAATTAAGGTAGAATGTTTCTTTCTAGATTTGCTGGGGTCAAGAAAAAACCTGTTTGCGTTTAATTCTCGGTGTGCTAAAGGTATCCACTTTACTAGCAAGACATCAAGAATTAATTACACGAAAATATTTTTTTAATAAGTTCGTGTGTTATAAAACCAGCAGAACTACTGATACAACGAAAGGTCTTGAATATCTGCTTCTAAATCTTTGTATGGTAAAGTTTTAATTTTTATCTGCGATTTGTTTACACATAATCACGTTTATATCCTTCACTTGCACAGTACTACACCTTATCTGTCATTTGCTAAATACCACTGGTTCATGTACCTGGTTATCAGCGAAATATTTTTTGTAAAGCCTAGTTACAATATCCAGGCTCCCAAAACTGAAGTAGGAGAGAAGCGAGTTTTAGAAAGTACTAAGCAATTGCTTCAAGGTGCTTACTTGAATGACATCTAGTCCTTTATAACACTGGGGATTAGCTACACCAACTAGTCACCAGTTGATAACCAAGGTCATAATGTGCATATATGTAGTGGCGATTAAATTGATGTATCAGGCAAGTGGTTTGATCTTATTAACACCTCAATGTATCTTTTAATCACTTATATATAAATTTTATCTACTATTTCAAATCACTTAGGGGTTGAAGGGATCAATAATTCTTATGCAGACCTTGATTGGCTGATCAATAATCAGATCTTTTGACCAGTTATCATTGTATTACATTATATGAAATAATTACATTTATCTACTAATCAATATTTTATTTTAATCGTAATCTTAAACTTATATAATAAGAACCCAAAAGTATTCAATGTCAGTCACTCAGCTACAACGTAGGACCAGGCACGTTTATGCATCGGTCCAAGTTGCCATACCTCGTTAGCACAACAAGATCAACACCGGATTCATAGACGTAATTAATTTAGTGGTGGTAGTATATAAAGAAAGGTTGTATATAAGGATATAGTATAGGAAGGAAGAACGTTATGAAACAATTTTAATCTTAAGGTTTAAGGGAAGATAAAGAGTGTATGCACCTACGCCATTGTGATCGATTCTCAGCCATGTCACCCACAGTCTCCAACCATTTATTACGATAGTCACGCGGACCCCAACCAGGTATTCTGCATCTGCCAACATGGCTCAGCCATGTTAGTGACTTCAAACACTGATGCCACGTTTTGGCCGCCCCTAGCTTTCGTCCAACCATCCCCTACACTAGTCAACATTGCGCGTCGTGGTAATCGGTGTTAAGGCATACGTAACACGTGGTCCAACCATCTCAGTCGATGAAGATTCATCACCTCATCAACTGATTCGCTATCATTTCCTAATACCCTGTGTCTGAACTCACCATTACTTACTCGGTGATCCCAGCAGATGCGAGCAATATTTCTAAGGCATCTGTGATCAAATACTAGTAACTTACGAGTATCTTCTACTCTTAATGGCCATGTTTCACAGCCGTAAAGTAGAACAATGTACCAAATATGAATTCACTATATGATCCAATTTTAAATGGAGTATCAATAATCAAATTAATCGTGAATAGTAAAAAAAGTAGGACAGTAATTTATGTCAACACAAATAATGAAAAAGATTTGAAAATATTTTTTTAATTTAACATAATATTAACTAATTATCATCTGTAAGGTTACTAAAAACGTGAGTGTGAGAGAAAGAGTAGAAAACTAAAGAAAATCGAACCAAAACAAATTAATTCATTTGCTTAACAACAACAACAACCACAAAATCACATGACTCTAGCTCTAAGCAACAATAGTAATAATACTGTTCAATATGAAGATTATGAGAAAGAAAATAGGAATATTAGAAAAAACAAACTAGTAGGTAGTGTAGTAATACAAGATAATAGGCGGGAGTTAATGTTTATTGTGACAGATTACAAAACCAGAAGGGGTTTTGTGGAGATTCCAGTATTTTCATATTTAAAATCATGAGTCAATTGAAGCTAGACTACCATGGAAAACCTGAAAGCACTGGATGGCCGTTTCGTCCTATTATGGGACTCCTCAGCAGTGCGTATCCACGATCCCGCACTCGCGAGATTGGAACCCAGGACCTACCAATCTCGCGCAAGAGCACTTAATCAATAGATTACAAAATGTTTGCATAATAGGCATACATAGCCTTTGATCATTGAATTGTATTATGCAGCTTGTTCTACACATCTACTTACAAGGAATCTTGTGAACAGCATCCAGTATAGAAGTAATAGTGTAGTGGACGCTACTCATAAAATTGAATGTAAGTAGTAAGTTGCGGAACGTGGTGTTGAAGTCTTCCTACTGAGTGAAGAGTTCCAGTACAGAGAAAGCACGTCGTAGGCAGGACACTTCGAGACCAGACAGGAAGATAGTTCAGATTACAGAATATACCGAAAGATGCTAATGGATAATTAAAGGTTATGTATATATATTATGTGAACGCTTTGTAACTTAGCACAATAAATATATTCTTTTAGCCTACTGACTTATTTTACAGTAGTAGTAGGGGTTGTAAGAGACATCAAAATAGACTGATTACAATGAAAAATCTTATGTGATAAGCTGTTCTTCTTTTTCTTCAAAAATAAAAAGACAACTGTTCGTTAACCTTATTATTATTATTAATAATAAATAATGAGTGCAACAAATCTTAACTATAAAGATTGTTGAATGACAGGAAAAAGTAATCAATTTAAAAACAAAACAGAATATTTCTTTATTATACAAGCAAAATAATTGTTTGAGTAATCTAGCAATCACAAATGCAAAAGTGATTCGCTCAAAATGCACATGTGCCAACAGAGACAGATCAATCAGAGTGGATATCAACAAAATGAAAATGTATACCATTACAAATAAAATTCATATCCCTTGAGAAAACCAGTGTTTATCTGGGTTTAGGAACGTAATGGAAAACGCGTTGAATGTTTGAAGCAAAATGTACATCCTGGTGTGAACATCAACAATGAAATATGACAGACATAAGAAACAATTGACGAGTTTTAAGTAGAATGGGCTGTGACCATCTACCCTCCCAAGTGGGTGAATATATCTATATTTATGCTATGAGATGCATGAGTGAAAACTTATGTTACCGGTGTGCATTTAGATTATACTTGCCCCTGGTGTGAAATCTGCGCACCAAGGTCTGGTGGTAACGATTCCCCCTAGCAATCACATCCACGCGGTGGGTTTGTTAGCCTTGTAAAGTGGAAACCATTTCCAGAAAAGCCTACCAGTTTCACTGGATAAGGGTTGGCCAACCTTAACACGGCTGGAATACTGTACTAAAAGCTAATATTTAATTTTAATAATCACTAATACTGTCTTCAAGAACAATCAAACTGGTAGCGAGCTTTCAGTAAAGAATTTGGGACATTTTACACTTATAGGTATCATTACCAAGTTTTGATAATTTTGAATACATTGAGCATTGGGTAAATTGTTATAAATAAATTAATATTTGTAATATCTCAATGAGTAGAAAATCCAATTTTTCTACTGATTGGGATATTATAAATATATTAATTTACTTTACACTTATGTTCTTCGTAGTGCAGGCTATTTATATCGATGAGAAACAACCTCAGTATCAAGGGGGTTTGTTATCTTTCTCTTACATTCGAGAATTTTTGTCAAGTTACGTAGATGATAATGTTATCATAAGGTCATTTGAACAGCATTTTCACCCCTACACAAGAAGGTTTTATACATAAATGATTATAGAAAGAAAACTCCGTTCTCAACGGACTATTTATTTCATTCTCTAACCGTCGTAACATTTAGTTAATATACACTATCGGAATATGCTTTCGATTGTTTATTAAGGGATGTACATGACAAACGCATATGGTTCTTTAATGAGTGCACGACTCACACATACCAAATCTATAGTTCATATTACCGAGATAAGCCTGAACTGTAATTAACTCGTTCTTACCAGTATAGAGTTTTGTGAAAATTGTAGAATTTTCATAGATTAGATCATGAAGAGATTTTAATTAGAAAACCATTTAAAACCACGGAGCACTGGAGTTGGGAAGAACTCTCAAAAAGCCCAAATATTGAAGATCATATATGGAGATAATACACTTCGAAAAGACAGCTCTTTTTAAATAAAGAGGGAGGGGTGTGAAAACTGTAAAGAGCTAATTTCAGAATAATTGTCAGCCTCCAGTGTCGATAGAAACATAGAACGTAGACAGTCTGCTTTACCTTAACAATGTCTAATTGAGTGATCATAAACTAAATTTGAGAAAATTGTCGGTTGATATTATTCTAATAAAACATTTAAGGTAGGTTAAATTATGTTAAACAACAAGACGTTTCCAGAGTTTGACTTTTCAGAATTTGAAAGAAGCCTGTAGCTCCTCCGGGGGCTACTGCCGGTCCCAAGCCCGGGTAAAAGAGGAGGGTTGGGAATGGAGTTAGCGACTCCATCCCGTAGAAAAAAAACTCGCTAAAAAAACGCTAACCAGAAAAAATCATTCAAACCTTTCAAACTCTGCCCTGGGAGTAGAAGGAATAATTATGACGTCTCATGATGAAAGCCGAAATTCTTCGGAAGTCATGAGGCCGATGCACCTTCTTACAACCAGAGCGACAATTTTTATAGG